TGCCTGCCCGCCCGCCCGCTCCCCGCGCAGCCGACAGCACAGAGGATGCGATTATGCGATTGCCATTTATGTAGACGGTGTCCGCCGCCCGAAGCCAATCAGAGTCACGCTGTCTGCTCATTCATCTTGGCGCGGCCGCCGCCCCCAGGGCACAGCCAGCCAGGGCTGGGCAGGCCCAGGCCCTGAGCGAGCCCAGCCCCATCTGCCCAGGGCACGGGGGCCAGCAGCCGGACAGCGGAAGGGCTTGCTCTGTGACAGGACTGTGAGGAGCTGCCCTGAATGCAGGGTCCTATATGCCTGAATGCAGGCATGGGTGTAGGACACCGCTCTCCGTGTGCCCCCCTTTCCATTAACCTAAGTGGGAAATTACTGCTACCCCTAGGAATGCTGCTCACTGCAGATGTCTTTGCCTTAGGGTAAAACAATTGATAGGAGCCTGCGGATGCAGAAAAGCTGCGAGTTCAGAGGAAGATAGGTGATTGTAAAAGGTCAGGTGCTGAAGGAACTTATCTGTGTAGGAACGCACGGTTTCCCTGAAATAAATATTTCCTCCTCCAGATTGGATTTAAAGGTTGGAAAAATAAAATTCGCGGCTGCAGACCTCGGGTCTGAGCCCTCCGGACCCCATCTGTTCTTGTCTGTCTTTTTCTTGTCCTCACCCCCTCCCTCAGGTACTGTTCGTGGCCGGCAGGTTCCGGCACAGGATGGGCCAGCACCTCTCTCCTCCCCGGGTGACGGGGACCCTGACAGGAGGGACAGGCTCAGGGTTCGGTCAGAGAGCAGCAGAGGCAGGAGTGGGTCTGAGTCACAGCCCTGTTCTTCCGCCCGAAGCGGCCAGCACCCAAAGCACAGCTCTTCCCGCCCGGGGCTCCCCTCCCTCCGCCCGGGGCTCCCCTCCCTCCGCCCGGCCAGACGGGGCAGGACAGGTGTCTCCTATGTGAGGGGCTGGCACTCAGGCAGGAGGCGCAGGTGGTTCTGCTGCTCTCACCGCGTGTACACACACACCACACAGCATGTATACACCCCATACATGTACACACAGCATACAGACACACCCACTCACACACCAAACACACCCACAGCATGCATGCACCACGCCCCAGCACACACATGCACGTGCACATAGCATGCAGGCATCATACATGCCCCCAGCACATACATGCACACACACACAGCAGGCAGGCACGTGCACACACCCCCACACGGGGCACACTCTCAGGCCTGTGGCGGTCAGAGCCGTGGGCCTGGCTGAGGACCAGCGTCTCCGGAGCCGAGCCCTTGGGGCAGGACCTGCAGGCCTGGGCGCGGCCGCCGGAGGGAGGGGCTGGCAGGGCCGAGAGCGGGGCGCCTGTGAGATGGGCCCCGGCAGGGGAGAGGCCCGCTGGCTGCACCCCTTGCTGTGGCTGCGCAGGGCCCCGGCCTGGAGGGGCGCTGGGGCAGGTGGCCGTGTGCCCAGGCCGGGCAGAGCTGGGCCCTTTGACCCTGCAGGCCGGGCTCTCCCGGCTCGGCTGGCAGCGGCCCTGGCAACCCCGGTGACCCGGGAGCCACGCAGGAGGGCCGGGTGCTCTTGGGAAAGACATGCCCCTCACCCGGGCCCGATGGCGCTGCGGAGGGTGGGCGTCCGCGGGGGACACGCTTGGCCGGGCCCAGGACCCCGAGGAGGGAGCGCGCGGAGGGAGCCACGCGCCCCTGAGGGACTGCAGCGCGTGGTGTGGGCACTCGGCCCGTGGGCGGGAATGAGATGGGGATGTCCTCCCTCCGGGGGACGACGGAGACGCGTGTTAGGTCGTGGAGGGCAGAGGTCTCTCCGGCCCTCCACCAGCGGCCGGCATGCCCCTCCGTGGACACCGGGCTTCAGGAGTCTCCTCCCAACGATGGAGCTGAGCTGCGGGGCGGGGGGGGCATGGCGCTGATTTGGGGCGAGGCCACAGAGATCGGAGCGTCGCTCAGAAAAGGGAGCGGACTGCCTCGGTGTGAGGAGCGGGTCCTGTGCGGCCGGAGGCGAGGGAGGAGCGGGGGGAGCGGCCTCCCGCGAGCTGGACCCTGTGCCAGCACCGTGGCTTAGGCCCCGGCTGCCATGGACGCCCACGTCCCACGGAGCCAAACCGGCCGGGGCAGCACCCGCTTCCGGGGGAGACGGGCCCGGGAAGCCGGTGACAGCGCGTGGGGGGAGGAGGCCGAGGGGCAGAGGCTGGGCCGTCTGGGCCGTCACACCCACCACCGCCGGTCAGACCCTGGACAGAGGGACGGCCACTGCCAGCTCCCCCCCCCCCCCCACTGACCGACCGCAGCGGGAGAGACGCGTGGAGGGCCAGAAACCACCCCCACCCACCCCCCGCCCGCGGGGAATTACCTGTGAGCGGCCCCTGAGCTGTGGAGCTGGAGGTCGAGGTGGTGTGCGTCCCACAGGGGCCCTCGGTTAGGGCCCTCGGTTAGGGCCCTCGGTTGGCACCAGCAGGGAGACTCAGGCCGGTCCCGTCCCTGTGGTGCCTGCCCCTGGGGGCAGGTGCGGGGAGGAGCCGGTGGGAGCTCACACGGGTCTGCCTGGCAGCGGCGAACGCCGAGGCCGGCCTTGGTTTTCAGCCTCACCAGCTGGTTAAACATTAAGCTCTGGCGAGATAAAGCCTCGGCCCCGGGAACTGAGTGCCCATCTCCCCAGGGGGCAGCGCCCGAGCCTGGTCCTAGAACAGCGCGCGGGCGTAAGGCCCCGCCTCATTGAGACCGGAGGCTCCGTGACCCGAACAGACCCCGCAAAACCCTCAGGGGGTGCCTGATCCCACTCCTTCACCCTCCGGCCGGGGCTCAGCTGTGCGCGCACCTGGGCGCCAGGAGCTTACACACTCCCACCCAAGGAGGCGGGCACGGAGCGGGCGGGCGCGAGGTAGGGTCCAGCCCGAGGGGGTGCTGCGAGCCGGTCCAGGGGGCCCTGGGCATGAGGGGCCTCGGACCATCCCCGGGCCACAGGGCCCCTCAGCAAGAAGCCCCTCCTCTCCTCTCAGGCCCCCGTGCTCTCCGCGCTGCGGCCGGGTTCAATCCCGCCTCCCGGGAGCCAGGGAACCTGCATGTGGCAGCTCGGTGACCCGTGACAGCTCAAGCCTCTCTAGCTCCAGGGCGTGTGACGTGTAGCGTGTGACGTGTAGCGTGTGGAGTGACCCTTGAGCGCCACGCCCCGAGTGTCTGAGCTGCGGCAGCACTGCTGGCAGCTGACCCACCCGCCCCCGGGGGACCCTTCTCACCCCCAGCATTCTGCCTTCTGAGTTGGGTCCTGGGGCCTGGGTCCCAGGTGAGCCTCCAGGGGAGCAGTCCAAGGTCAGGCCAGGCCAAGGCCAGCTGACCCTGCAGGATGCTGCTGCGGCTCATCACAGGCCCTCGCCCCCACGTCTTTCCTCAAGCCTCCCGTGGCACAGGGGACACTGAGAACTCAGGTGGGCCTGGGTGGGTTGCTCAGTGGTTAGTGTTGGCCTGCGGACCGAAGGGTTGCGTGTTCGACTCCTGACCAAGGACAAGGACCTCAGTTTCAGGTTCCATCCCTGGCCCTGGTCAGGGCACGTGCAGGAGACAGCCAACCAATCGATGGCTGTCCAAAGTTCTCTCTCTCTCGCCCTAGCCGGTGTGGCTCTGTGGATAGAGCGTCAGCCTGTGGGACTGAAAGGTCCCAGGTTTGATTCCAGTCGAGGGCACAGGCCGAGGTTGCGGGCTCGATTCCCAGTATGGGGTGTGCCGGAGGCAGCCGATCCATGGTTCTCTCACATCTTTGCTGTTTCTCTGTCACTCTCCCTCTCCCTTCCTCTCTGACATCAATAAAAATATATTTAAGAAAAAGTTCTCTCCCCACCCCTTCCATTCTCTCTCAAAATAAATAGATAAAAACCCGTGGGGGAAACACCCTCAGGTGAGTTAGGAAAAAAGAACTCGGGTGCATGGCGGGTGCCTGCGGCACCAGCAGGGCCCCTTCTCCCAGGGGCGCCTTTGGCTCTGGCAGCCCGGTCAGCCCGGCCAGAGCCGGCAGAGGCGGAGCGTGGCCTGTGCTGGCGGGTGGCTGGCTGTCAAGCCACAGGCCTCCCGCCCGCGCCTCAGCTGGGATGTGCTCCTCCAGCGGCCGGCTGGCCCGGCTCCGGGGCTCCTGCTCCTCAAAGCCGCCAGGGCCTCCCCATGTTGGCCACGTACAGCGGGCGCTCCTGGAGCCCACGTCTGAGGCCACGAGGACAGCCGCTCTTGGTCCGAGATCAGACCCTCGGGTCAGCGAGCTCCTTGCCCGACTTCCCACCCGCCACTACCTCAGCGACGCGCATCCTTCTCCCTGCTCCCTCTCGGTCAGCTGCCCCGGCTTCTGCCCAGGGACTGGCTCTGAAGGGAAGGGCCCCGGGCAGGCAGGCAGGCGCATCACTGAGGTGGAGACAGCTGACACGGAGAGACACACTGGGAGGGACGCCCCGGGAGCGAGCTGGTGAGGGCGGGCACCAGGCTGACGGGGGCAGGGGCAGGGGCAGGGGCAGGGCAGGACGGACGGGAGCTTGGGGAGGGAGGTGGGGACTCGGGCGGGGGCAGGTCGGGGCCACAGCGGGGTGAGCTGCAGACTCAGAGAACCCTCTGGGAACACAGACAGGGGCATGGGCCCAGGGGCGTCCTGAGGGGGCCAGGCCGCAGTGACAGCCCGCACCCTCTCTGCGTGGTGGGGTGGACGGCCGAGGCACACGGCGGCCAGGCGAGGCCAGGACAGCCGTTCTCCTGACTTCCCGCCGAGTTCCTGTCTGACCGGGAAACCCAGGCTCCCGCCCGTGACGGCCCGCTGGGTCCTGTGAGGGCTCAGGACCCCGAGTGCTCCAGGCCGTGCCCCCGCCGGGGCCCTCGCCCGGTGATGACCGATGGCCCACCCGGTTCCCTCCAGCCGCCCCGCCCCCAGTGCGGAGACGCGTGTGGTCATCATCCCACACCACTCGTGAGGGCTTTCAGCCGCCGGCTGGCTGGAGGGTGGAAATAAAGAGACAGTACACACCATGGAAAATGAAGAACACTGTATGTTTATTAATGTTTATTTCAAATTACAAGAAACAGATCACCAGTCCCTTATTGGTACAAAAATACCTGAAAGTGTGTACTTAGGTTCATGAGCTGAGGAGCTATGTACAAAGAGGAGCAAAGCACATGAGGAGAGCTTGTCTCTGCACCGTCTGCACCCTGGGCGCGGGCGCGGGGCCGCGCGGCTCGCTGCAGCGTCACACAGGGCGAGCGAGTCCCACCCCGAGGGGCGAGACACTGGTCAGACTGCCAGGGCCACATGCAGAGGAGAGAGGACAAGACTTCTAGACTGAGGCACATATTTCTTCAAAGTTTAGCAAACAAAAAAGCATCCTGGGACCCTCCCCAGCACGCTGGGGGCCGACACCGCAGCACGGCGCCCTCCTCCCTCCCATCTGGCCCAGGCGGTTACACGAGTATCACTGAAAAAGAAAAGAAATCACAGGCAGAGAAAAACCCAACAGGCTCCACACGACCCTGAGCTGTCCCGTTTACATTCACGTCACTGAAATACAAAAATAAAGGCCGATGTCTTCAGCCCCTGGCCGGCGGTGGCGATGCCTCGTCCAGGGACCGGCTGCTGTCGGGCCCTCCCGGCCGGGCAGGGCGAGGACCCTGTGCCAGGCCTGCACTCGCGTCGACTGGTGGAGGCTGGAAGGTGCCACGGGCCGGGCACACAGCTACATGCGAAACTGAGTCAGAGTCGGGCTCCTGCTGTCCTTTAAATAAAACGCGTGCGTATAAATATGAAATGCCGCAAACACTAGCCATCTACGGGGACGGCGGGCCTCGCCTCACTGCCGGCCTGGCCTGGCCTACTCAGCGGGAGAGGCGGGGACCTTCCCATGCTCAGGCTCACGTTCGGCCAGCGAGGGGCGGTCACATCAGTCCCTCAGGTGGGCGGGCAGCACCGCCAGCACAACGGGAGGCCCGCCAGGGTCAAGGCTATGAAAGATAAACTGGGTACAAAAAAAGAAAACACAATTGAGTAACTATAGCTAAAAACGTCTACTAAAACTTCTTCATTTGCATAAATGGACAGGCACAGAAAACAACCAGAGTGTGGCCTGTAGAGTAACAGCTTCCCCTGCACTGACTGACCACGGCGCGGCCCGGGGCCAGGCCTGTGTGTTTCTGGGGACCCCTCGGGGGGTCAGCGGGCGCACAGAGGCCAGTCAACATCGGAGCTGCTACTAGACAAGAAAATCACTTGCACCACAGAGGTCTGTGTGCTCGTCAGAGACCAAAGGAAAGAAAGACATGGCCACTCTCAGACTGGGGACACCCCTCTGGGACCGGGCACCGTCCGAGCGGCCCCGGAGTGGGAGCGTGTCCCGCTGACCAGGCTGGTCCACGTCCCCGCTGCTGTGAGGGACGAGGCGGCAGAGGCCGCCAGCTGCCTCCCGCACCGGTCTTAGGCCGGGGGCATCAGGCACAGGCCGCAAAGCTGGGCCAGAATGTGCCCTTTCAATTTCTCCATCCTTGTCACCATGGAAACCCGCCAATCCGGGCCTGGAACATGGTGCCCTTTCAATTTTTCCATCCTTGTCACCATGGAAACCCACCAATCCAGGCCTGGAACATGGTGCCCTTTCAATTTTTCCATCCTTGTCACCATGGAAACCCACCAATCCAGGTCTGGAACATGGTGCCCTTTCAATTTTTCCATCCGTGTCACCATGGAAACCAGCAAATCCGGGCCTGAAACATGGTGCCCTTTCAATGTTTCCATCTGTGTCACCATGGAAACCTGCAAATCTGGGCCAGAAACATGGTGCCCTTTCAACGTTTCCATCTGTGTCACCATGGCAACCTGCAAATCTGGGCCAGAAACATGGTGCCCTTTCAATGTTTCCATCTGTGTCACCATGGAAACCTGCAAATCTGGGCCAGAAACATGGTGCCCTTTCAATGTTTCCATCTGTGTCACCATGGCAACCTGCAAATCTGGGCCAGAAACATGGTGCCCTTTCAACGTTTCCATCTGTGTCACCATGGCAACCTGCAAATCTGGGCCAGAAACATGGTACCCTTTCAATGTTTCCATCTGTGTCACCATGGAAACCTGCAAATCTGGGCCAGAAACATGGTGCTCTTTCAATGTTTCCATCTGTGTCACCATGGAAACCTGCAAATCTGGGCCAGAAACATGGTGCCCTTTCAATGTTTCCATCTGTGTCACCATGGAAACCTGCAAATCTGGGCCAGAAACATGGTGCCCTTTCAATGTTTCCATCTGTGTCACCATGGAAACCTGCAAATCTGGGCCAGAAACATGGTGCCCTTTCAATGTTTCCATCTGTGTCACCATGGAAACCTGCAAATCTGGGCCAGAAACATGGTGCCCTTTCAATGTTTCCATCTGTGTCACCATGGAAACCTGCAAATCTGGGCCAGAAACATGGTGCCCTTTCAATGTTTCCATCTGTGTCACCATGGAAACCTGCAAATCTGGGCCAGAAACATGGTGCCCTTTCAATGTTTCCATCTGTGTCACCATGGAAACCGGGAATCTGGGCCTGGACCATGGTGCCCTTTCAATGTTTCCATCTGTGTCACCATGGAAACCCGCCAATCCAGGCGGGGGCATGCCCTTTCAAGGTTTCCATCCATGTCACCATGGAAACTCAAATCTGGGAAAGATATGGTGCCCTTTCAACGTTTCCATCTGTGTCACCATGGAAACCCGTGAATCTGGGTTGGGACATGCCCTTTCAACGTTTCCATCCGTGTCACCATGGAAACCTGCCAATCCGGGCAGGGATGTACCCTCTCAAGGTTTCCATCCGTGTCACCATGGAAACTCACAAATCTGGGCGGAGACATGGTGCCCTTTCAATGTTTCCATCCGTGTCACCATGGAAACCTGCGGGTCTCTGCAGGAAGCCAAGCAGGTGACATTTCTCATCAGAGCCTAGAGTCCCCGAGGGAGGACAGCCATGAGGAGGCTCAGGCAGTGATCCTTCTAGAACAGGCGGCAGGGGCGCCGGCGGACGGACCACGGGATGGACCACGGGCAGACGAGAGTAGCAGAGTCTCAAGAAAGCTGCCTGTCTCCAACCAGCGGGGGACTCGGCCGGGCGGGCGGGCGGGGCGTCCCCGGAAACGAAGGCTCCTGGCTGCGGAGGACGGGCACCTGGGAGCATGAGCGCGGCACCTTGTGCGGAGAGAGCGTGACGGACGGTGGCTGCTGGACTGGTCCACGAAGCGTGTCCAATGCGGCCGCAGGTGACACCTAGATGTCCTTAGAAGCTTTGCCGGTAAACGGGGGAGGGCGGGGCGCTGATCACTGGACGCTGAGTCCGCCCGCGGTGACCTGCAGGCGGCCGCCCTCCGGTACCTCTGCTCCGTCGGCAACGTCTACCGTCCGCGTGAAACTTCTCTCCGTCTTGTATGCGCTGCACAGCCGTGTCCCCGCCACCAGGGGCTGAATACAACATTGAAAACAAGGAGTGCAAAAGAGGGATCAATACAAAAAAGTAAACATGTCAGTTTGAATTGTCAAGATTATTCCAGGGCAAGAGTTTATTTCCAATCACTGCTATGATTCACACGCGGCCCCGCCAGGACGCTGGTTCCCGTTTCCTCCGGTTCAGCACTCGCTCTTTCAGCCCGTGTGGTGGGCAGGGTCCCGGCAGCACCTCGCGGTGACACCCAAGGACTATCCAATGGGGGGGGTGGCACCAGAGGGAGGGCTTGCTCCCCCGGCGCAGAATCGAAGTGTGTTTCCACCATGCAAAGGCCTCCTGCTCCTTCCAGTGTGAGCTCCCTCCGGCACAGCTCAGGCGGGTCTGAGGCCCCGGCCTCGGGGCGCCCCAGCCGCCGGCCGCGCGGAGCGAGTCACAAGGCCACGCGCACGCAGTGGTGCTTCAGCTTGCAGGGCAGCACCCCCTTGTTGAGCTGGTAGAAGTCGACGAGCTGGATCAGGTCGGAGAACTTGGTGTTCCCATCGTCCAGGCTGAAGAACACCTGGCCCTCCTCCTCACACTGCGAGACACAAGACACTCCCAGGTCAGAGCCGCGGCAGCCAGCACCGCCCCACCCCGCCCGGCCACAGCCCCTTCCAGACAGTCTCTGGGGAAGCTCGTTAAGCATCGCCCCCGTGGGCGTGGAGGTGCCTGCCATGACTGCCCGCAGTCTGGTTAGCCTGTGACTCGGAACAGAACCCGTGGAGGGGGCTAGCGGTGACGTGGGTACTCACAGGTAAGATCTGGAAATTTTTGATTTTCTGGTGGTGGCTCAGCGTGAGCACGTACGCCTTGGGGTTGCTCTGGCTGTCGCGGACCAGGAAGAGCCTGGGAGGAAGGTGACGGCGTCAGTGTGAAAACCCAGACTCGGCGCGCGCACACACTCGTGCACGCACACGCACACAAACTTCCCTCGCAGCCCGAGGCTGCGGGTCTCAGGGCCCGCACGCCCCGGCCACGGTTCCTCCTCGCGCCGAGGGCCCAGCTCCCTGGCACCCAGGGCCCGGGCTCAGGGGAGGCCGCAGTGGGAACACCCGGTCTGTGGGGTGGGGAAGCCCTCCGAGGTGATGGCCAAAGGCGGCCTGGCCAGAGCTGGGGAGTGAGTGAGCTTGCAGGCCCGGGCCTTACTGATCAGAGTGGCTGCTTGTCTGGCCTGCTCCCGTCAGCACAGGCGGGCACGCAGACGGCAACCCTCCCTGGGGGACAGGCCTGTACAACCCACATGCCTGAGCGCCTTCGTCTGCTCAGCGAGGCTGTCGCTCTGCCTGTCCGGAGCGAGGCCTGGGCGGACCCCGCACCAGTGACGGCCCCCAGCACCTGCCCGCACGCTCACCCGTCCACCAGCCCCTGCTGCTTGATGATCCTGTGGGACTCCTCCCTGGAGATGCGGCCATGGAACCAGTGCTGGCTCTTGTGAATCACTGGAGGGACGGGTGGAGAGGGGGAGAGAGAGAGGGAGGGTGAGTCCCGGCCCTGTGTAGGGCTGCCCTGGGCACAGCCGTGTGGCTGGCAGGCCCCTTCCTGAGGCCGTGGACACCCTGGGTGGATGGGGTGGGGGGGGGGGCGGACACGCTGGGTGGACGGTGTGGGGGGAGCGGACACGCTGGGTGGATGGTGGGGGGGAGCGGACACCCTGGGTGGACAGTGTGGGGGAGGTGGACACCCTGGGTGGATGGTGTGGGGAGCGGACACGCTGGGTGGGCGGTGTGGGGGAGAGTGGACACCCTGGGTGGACAGTGTGGGGGGCAGTGGACACACTGGGTGGACGGTGTGGGGGGGAGTGGACACCCTGGGTGGACAGTGTGGGGGGGCGGACATGCTGGGTGGACGGTGTGGGGGGGGCGGACATGCTGGGTGGATGGGGTGGGGGTGGGGGGTGGGGGGCGGTTCCATTGCACACACAGCGGTCCATACCGGTGTTGAGGGAGGCATGAGCCAGGGGGCTATTGCCGCCCAGGGCACTCATCCTGGTGCTGCGTCTCTGTAAGGGAAACGCCATGTCAGTGCTGCCAGCAGCGGGCAGGCCGCCCACCCCATCCACGCTGCTCAGGGCGTCCTGCCAGGGGGACGGGGCCCGGCCGAGTGCCCGCGCCTGTCTGCCACGGAGAACGAAGGGCTGGGTCGGGGGTGAGGCAGAGCCGGAGCGCCGTGCAGGCCGTCCCCACAGCCCCGCCCGTTCCCCAGAGAGAGTGTGGGGGGTCGGACGGACCTCAGCAGAAACCACAGCCCACCCACCCCCGCTGGGGGCCCCCCGCACGCTGGCTCAGGAGCGCTGTGAACCAGGCTCAGCTTCTGCTCGGCTCCCTCTCTCTCTCCCCCTCTCCACCCGTCCCTCCAGTGATTCAGGGTCAGGAATGTGAAGGGTGGTTCAAGGCCCGGAGCGGTCGGCGTGGAGCCGCAAGGCGTGGGCTCTGTGGCCCGCACACCCAGGCCCTGACACTCCTCAGCAGGGACCAGACGCCCTTGCTCCTGTCCTGGTCCCTCCTGGGTGCCAGGGGGCAGGAGGCGGGCGCTGCGGATGGTAATGCCAATGCCACCTTCCCCCCTGGGGGCCAACAGCAGCGCCGCTGTGCGGGCAGCGAGGCAGGGGTCCCGCGGAGGGCTGTGTCTCTTACCCGCCAGGCGTGGCCCTCCTCCAGGGCCGCACTCTCAGCCTCGTCAGGGTTGTCGATCACTCTCCCGGTCTGTCCGGAGAAGTCCATGGCCACGAGGGAGTTCTCAGAGACACTGCGCTGTGGGGGCGGGGTGTGAACACAGGAGCTGCCGGGCGCTCGGCACCCAGCAGTCCTCCCAGCTCCGAGGCGCGCTGGGACTCGGCAGACAGATGGGCCTCGGCTCCCAGGGCTTTGGTCTCCTCAGACAGAAATGCCCCCTCGTGCGGGCACACGAGAGCAGGGACACAGGCTCCTCTGGGGGAGGGACAGTGCCAGGAAGGGCCACGGGCCCTGCAGACCGTGCAGTGGGAGGACGTGTCTGCCCCTCTGGGGAGGCGGCGTGTCCGAGAACCAGCGAAGGACCCCGTGGCATGGCCAAGGGCACCCAGGTCTCAGGCCGGAAGCAAAGGGGCGAGGGCAACCCTCAGGGAGCCCTGCGCCTGCCATCGAGCGGAGCATCCGCCAAACTGCCGGGGCTGCGGGGCGGGCGGAGGGCGGCGGCCTCTGGGCACGGGTGCGGGCAGGCTGCTTCTCGGGGACCACAGGCCTGTGCCCCCCCCCCCCCCCGTCTGCATGAGACATGGCGGCGGCTGTGCGAAGAGCTGGGGGGCGGCCTGGCCCGCAGGGCGGCAGGTCCACTTACCGCGGGCCCGGAGAGAGCGCTCAGGTAGGCTGGCTTTCTGTGGTTGGGGAGCCGATAGTTCTGGTAGAGGCTCATTCCATACTGCGGGCCAGAGCCAGAGGCAGAGTCAGCGCTGGTGTGGGGGGGGGAGAGGAGGGAGGGAGGGGAAGGGGAGAGTGGAGGGAGGAGGGGGAAGGGGAAAGGGGAAGGGGAAGGGGAGGAGGGAAAAGGGGAGAGTGGAGGGGGGAGGGGGAGGGGAGGGAGAGGAGAGGGGGAGGGGAGGGGGATGGAGGGGAGGAGGGGGAGAGTGGAGGGAGGAGGGGGAAGGGGAGGAGGGGAGGGGAGGAGGGAAAAGGGGAGAGTGGAGGGAGGAGGGGGAAGGGGAGTGGGAAGGGGAGGGGGAACGGGGGAGGGGGAAGGGTAGGGGGGAGGGGGGAGAGTGGAGGGAGGAGGGGGAAGGGGAGGAGGGGAGTGGGAAGGGGAGGGGGGAAGGGGGGAGAGGGAAGGGTAGGGGGGAGGGGGAGAGTGGAGGGAGGAGGGGGAAGGGGAGGAGGGGAGGGGAGGAGGGAAAAGGGGAGAGTGGAGGGAGGAGGGGAAGGGGAGGAGGGGAGGGGAGGAGGGAAAAGGGGAGAGTGGAGGGAGGAGGGGGAAGGGGAGGAGGGGAGGGGAGGAGGGAAAAGGGGAGAGTGGAGGGAGGAGGGGGAGGGGAGGAGGGGAGGGGAGGAGGGAAAAGGGGAGAGTGGAGGGAGGAGGGGGAAGGGGAAAGAGGGAGGAGAGTAGAGGGAGGAGGGGGAAGGGGAGTGGGAAGGGGAGGGGGAAGGGGATGAGGAGGGGGGAGAGGGAAGGGGAGGGGGAGAGTGGAGGGAGGAGGGGGAAGGGGACGAGGAGGGAGGAGGGGGAAGGGGAAGGGGAGGGAGGCCCCTCAGAGCCCTGCACGCCTGGTTCACTTTGCTTTTCCCAAAACAGGTCATACGTGTGCAGACCAAAAACATCACTCAAGTACGGAGAACCGCACCGTCTCCCCACCTCTGCTCACAGCATGGCTGCTCTGCTCTCCCCAATGCCTCCTTCTCCGCCTCCAGCCCCTACACCAGTGGATCCCAGTGTGAGGCGCACATCCCAGGGGGGCAACCGAACTTTTTAAAAAAATATATATTTTATTGATTTTTTACAGAGAGGAAGGGAGAGGGATAAAGAGCTAGAAACATCGATGAGAGAGAAACATCGAGCAGCTGCCTCTTGCATACCAGCTACTGGGGATGTGGCCTTGACGGGAATCGAACCCGGGACCCTTCAGTCCTCAGGCCGACGCTCTATCCACTGAGCCAAACTGGTTTCAGCCAACCCAAGTTTTAAGGAGGGCAATTCCAGGGTAAGTTATTCACAGTGATTTTTTTTGCATTCTTATGGTTCTAGGGGCCTCATAAACAGTATGTAAATATATACTGTGGCATATTTATGCCTGTGTTTTGAAACTTTGCTGTTTTTCCATTTCACTTCATATTGTTTTTAAACAAGTTCTCCCCTGTCCTTTGTTCTCGCACTTTTCTCTCACGGGGGCCGTGCTCTTGGGAAGCGTGTGCGACCACACTCCTGGCCTCTCAGGGTTCCTCCCGTGAGCAGGCTCGCCCTCGGAATAGCCAGGATTGAGTGTCAGGGGCACGGGGATTTCAGGTGCTGAGGGGGCGTGGGCAAAGAGGGGGAGCACAGAGGTCTGCCCCCTTCCCAGTGCCTGCTCTGAGCACACTGCTCCTGGCTCTTTGCTGAAGTTCCCTCTGTCTCCACAGGGGGACCCCGCGAGCTGCTCCTGCCCTGCGCTGCAGCGCGCCTGTGGCTGGGGGTGGGCGCCAGGAAACTCTCCCTGCAGGCCTGGAAGGCGTGAGCCCCCCACCTCAGCACCGCCTTCCTAGGCAACAGTAAAACATCACTGTAGACCCTCTTTGTCCCATCCGGGCAAACATCACACCCCGGCTTCTGGGGCAGAGGCGCGGAGCCGTGCGCTCCTGGGCGTCTCGAGGGGAGTCTGTGCCCAACTCCGCTGCGCCTGCTTCTCCAGGCGGCTGCACCCCGAGTCTGTGCAGCTGCAAGCGGCAGTGGGGCTGGGGGCTTAGTGACGGGATTCCTGGACCACGCCCTGTGCTGGCACCAGGTCAGCGAGCAAACTCCCCTCCAGATCCTGCTCCCCCAAGTTCCCCCTGATCATCTAACTCGAGAGGGCTTTGTGAGCACAGGGCTGGGAGACACGGGCCCCAGGGGGATGGAAGCTGAGGGGGGTCCCCACCCCAGGCGCGCTGTGGCCTCTCTGAGAAGCTGCTGTCGGGGGTACGATTCCCAGCCCCTCAACTTCCTTCAGAGCTTGCTGCCTGGCGGCACCCCCTGCCCTGGCCACCACTCGGTGTGCTGCCGAGTCCCTGTGCCTGGGGACCCCCACCCTCGGGCAGGGAGTCTGAGAGTTGCCGAGAAAGCAGTTCACCCTGCTGCGAGCTCCGTGTGCCGGACTCCGGGTCCTTCTCTCTCCCCCCTCTCCCCCCATCCCTCTCCCCCGACCCTGGCCCCCTCTGCCCCCACACCCGGCACTCACGTCGGCTCACTGGACGGGGTACCAGGGCACCGAGCGGGGAGATGAGGGATGCTGCTGTCCCGCATGGCCGGCCCAGGTCAGCCCCTGGCTCTGCCCTCCCCCGGAGCCTCCGGGAGAAGCTCCCGAACCCCGTGGGCAGGAGGGCGGCAAGCCGGGGCGGACGGACAGGACGCACGTACCTTGAGCAGGCGGAAAGCGGTGATCCAGCAGAGGCGGCCCTGCTCGTCCTCTGCGCACAGCACCCGCAGCTCCTTTGTCTCCTGCAGCACTTTGTTTGGCTTTTAAAGGAGGTAAAGGAAGACGTGGTGAGTGTCCACAGCCAATCAGAAGCCCGCCTCAGCCTCCGGCAGGATGGGAGCGACACTCACACAGATTGGCTGGGCGCCCCACAGGGGCCCTGAACCACCACGCCTTCCCCGGGGCCGCCGAGCTCCTCAAGGACGGACCCCTCCTAACGCCAGGAAAGCTTTCCACACGGATGAGGCGCCCCAGAGTGAAACCAGGCTGCTGGCTTCAGAGAGAAGCAGCAAGCAAGGAAGCCGCACAGCCTGAATTCCGAAGTGGCCAGCGGAGGCGGCTGCAGGCCGGGCCGTACCTTGAGGCAGAAGCCGAACTCCGTGGGGGTGTGGTACTGCTTCTTGCCGGAGATCACCGTGAAGACGCTGCAGTCCTCCAGGTCGGCCATCAGCTGCAAGTGCCTGGGCTCCTGTGAGGCAGAGGCAGCCGTTAACCAGGACCGGCTGTTCCTGTCCTGGCCGACAGAGGGCAGGCTGCGCGCCTCCCGCAGACATTCCACAGGGCAGCCACGTGCAAGAGAATCCCTAAGTTAAAACCAGCCGCCCCGCCCCCACTAGAAAGCCCTCCCCGTTCCTAGACAGAAGACTGTGGGAATGCATTGGCACTCTGCCAAGTCAGAGCCCCAGAACCAAATATTCACAGTGCAAAGGGGCGTGGGGGTGGGGGGACTCCGAGCCCAAAGGTCAGAGTTAAGAGCACAGGCTCCAAGGCAGGTCCCATGCACTCCCTGTGTGTCAGACTCCACCATGCCTGCAGCTCCCACAGCTCACCTTCCGGCCCCATCCTCCCCCAGCTCTGCCTCCAGCTCCGGGCACACAGGCCCTAGGCTCTGTCTCCGAGGAGGGGAGGGAGCCAGACACCAGAGCTAGGCGCGGGGAAAGTGACTGCCCGTCTCATCTCCATCTCATCTCCATCAGAGGCAGCGGAAGGAGGCCTGCCACCCACTGCCTTCTCTCTGGCTCCCCGGCCCCCATCCCCCGACACCCCTGGAGCAGCAGGAAATCGGGCTGGTGCTTAACACCCTCACCTGCCCTCTTCCCAGGGGGGATACATGCAAAACGGCACTTATTCCTTCAAATATCTGTAACGGCACTCAGACGGAGCGAGTCCTCGGCCTGCAGCTGGCTGAGCCTGAGGTGGGAGGGGTGCAGCCTGCAGGTTCTAGCCTGCGTGGTCCCCCGCTGTCTCAGCCAGTGCACAGGGAGCCAGGAGCTCCAAGGGACCCCGGGAGCAGGCAGAGGGAGGCCCCGCCCCCTCTGCAGCGCCGGCCTGCCTGCCTGCCTGCCTGCCGGCCTGCAGTGGCGTGGCCGGCGTGCCCGTGGCGTGGCTGGCGTGCCGTGGTGTGCCGGAGGGGAGCTCACCTTGGAGGAGCCCTTGGTGGAGCAGTAGAGCCCCGAGCGGCGCAGGCACAGGTACATCTTCTTCCAGGACTTCCGCCCCAGCTCCTTCACCTGCAGGAAGCCCTGGATCTCGGGGCAGCTGCTGGTGTTCAGGAAGTTCTGTCAAAGCGGATGTGGAGTCAGGGGATTGGGTACGGTTACAGAGGCGCCATCAGCTTCTGACATCCTAACGCTCTCTGAACGACTGAAGCACTGTTTCTGAGACCTTTCAAATGATAAACTCCCTCTTCAAATCCTCACCGTCTGTCTGACTGGCGTGGACGGCCAGCGTCCACGTTTCCGTGGACCTTGACTGCAGCTGGAGCTCAGGCCCCCGTTTCCTGTGTTCCCGCCTCCGCCAGGTCTGCCAGCAGCCCCCCCCCACGCCAGCACCGGCGGGAAGAGCGCATCTGCACACCAGCTCTCCCCAGACCCCTGGGCGACAGCCCGGCGCCCAGTGACCTCCTCCCGAGAGGCCCGGCTGCTGGGGGTGCAGCCGGGAGGGACCGGACTGAGTGGGGACACGTGGCCAACCCTCCTGGAGCCACTGCAGATCAGGCGGTAAAGCAGCCATCAGCCTCTGGGCCTTGCTGTGCTGGGGCCATAGGGCCTGGGGAGAGGCCTGCAAAGGGCTCCCAGGCTCCGAGGCTCCTCGGGGGGGGGGGGGGGGGGGGGGGCTGAGACGCCGGTGGTGACCAACCAGCAGAAAAAGAGGGCTGGGGGCTGCATCCCCCGCCCCCTCCCCCGGCTCCTTACACTGGGTGGGGCGGCAGCAGGGCCGCCTGCGTGCACAGGTCCCTGGCACGTGCACGTTGCACATGCATTTAGGGGCAGCAGTGTCCCCTCTTCTGCTCCCGCCCTCCCTGGAGCAGCACAAGCCTCCTGAGGCAGTGCTCCCTCCCGCTGCAGGGGAGCGGAGGCCCGCTCTTTACCAAGCAGGACCCCTAGCTGAGCATGCCAGGGGCTCCGGGATGGGCTGAGGCCTCGGCCTCCCTCCTGCCTTGCCCCTTCCAAGCCACAGCAAGTGTCCCGCCCCAGGGACTTTTCACGCTGGAGGAGCTGCCCCCAGCGGACTGCCCAGGTCAGCATGTGTTCTCTAAACTCCATTAAGAACTGAGGCTGATCCATGGTTAAGAATGAAATTGCTCCAAGTTTTTGCGAGGCTGGGGCAGCTCCAGGGAGGACTCCGGTCTGGGACCCTGAGGCCCACTGGCCCTGTACCTGCAGCATCTGGTTCTGACCCCCGTTGGACTGCTGGCACCAGGTGACCATCTGGTCCGGGAAGAAGTTCTGAGGAGCGGAGACAGACGCGCAGTCAGTGTGAGGCGGGGAGCGCAGCTCACAGGTGTGCAGGGTGGCCCTGCGCTGTGCATGCTTCTGTCCCCGGGCCCGCGGAGCGCCTAATGCTCTGTGCCTGCCGGGCCGCTCAGGAACGTGCGCTCACGCCTCGGGGCACCGACCAAGTCACGGCATGAGCCACGCCACTCCGGAAGCTCAGAGAGGAGTGGCCAGCATGCACAGCCTGCTTGGGGGCCCATTTCTTACTTCTGTGTGAAGAGCAATGAAGCTCCGGAGCCCCCTCTGCACATTGCACCGGCCCAAGCCCAAGGCCTGTCCTGGCATTTCACCAGACAAGCACTACCCCCTCATCCCCCCAAAACAGAAAAGCCAAGATGAACCAGGAGACCAGTCAACACGCCTGGATATCAACTTCCCTACTCGCCCTTCCCAGACCATCACAAGGCGACATCTGCTACTTGGGGGAATAAGCTCTCATTCTGCTGAGTCTCGGGCCAACCTGCTCAGGCAGAGCCCGCGCTCCTAATCCCCCTTCCTGCGGAGAAGGCACCGAGGGAAGGGCTTCGCTCCCCTGCAGCCCAGGCCCTGCCCGCTGCCCGCTGCCCGCTGCCCCGGGTCCCGCAATGCTCTGCTCTGCTCCCATGAAACCCCGAGTTCCAGCCCAGGCTGAGGCGGCGGGACTCACGTTGGGGTTCTTGAAGAACTCGTATTTGCCATAATTCTTCCTGAACAGAAACTTGCTCTCGCCGGCCATGGTGCTGTCCACCTGGGCCACCAGCTCATGGTCTTCCACACACCGCTCTGGGGAGGAGCATCTCGGATGAGGAGGGAGGGAGGACTCGCAGGGCCCTAGGGCAGCTCTGCATACAGCCACGCCACCTGGCCGGCTTCCCTGCCTCGGACAAGGCGAGCGAGCGAGCGCAGGGTGGCCGGAGCTCCATGCCCATCTCCCTCGAAGCCCTGCCGCGTGCAGGGGCGGTGAGACATGGACAGGAGGGCTTCCTCTCTGAGCGGCGTGGCCACTGAGCGAGGAGAGTCACCACCTCCCAGCAAAGGCTGTGCCTCGGGTCAGAGGTGCCCGCTCTTGTGGAGCAGCAGCCACCACAGCTGGAGCCACGCAGACAGCAGAGCACGGCCAGGGCGTGTGGGGGAGAGGGCAGGGCAGGAGGAGCAGAGGGTGCCCTCCTGGTCTGAGGTCCCCAGTGCCTGCCCCGGGAGAGGGCACGGGAGGGAGAGAGAGGAGGCGGGGGACACGGCGCTGTGCAGCTGGTGGGGGGGTGGCTGCAGGCGGAGCCGCAGGCGCTGCCCTTACCGATCCCCAGGTGAGGGTGGTACTCCACCAGGGACCAAGTGTTGTCGTCCACACAGTGAGTGCGGTACACCAGCAGCTGGCACAGGTCCCGGGACTTCATGTCCACTGGAATCTCCACCACTTTGCATGTCCCGTCCTCACCAAAGATTTTAACATCCTGCAAAGACAGGGGCGCTCACAGTAAGTGACTGGGCATCTGCCTGTTGGTTTTGTTTTCACTGTTAAGACTTTTATCATCCAAACTTCTGGCGAAGGAAAGCTAATGCCACGGAGTGTGTCTCTGTCTAGGAGCCCGTGTCAGGTGCTGCAGCCCGGGAGCCACCACGGCATCCAGCCGTTTCTGAAGAGACAGAGCAGGCCGTCTGAAAAAGCTAAGTCTGTTTTTAAGTGAGGTACAGAAAAGGAAAAGGAAACTTAAAAGGTGGATTTTTAAAATATATATTTTATTGATTTTACACAGAGGGAATTGAGAGGGACAGAGAGTTAGAAACATCGATGAGAGAAACATCGACCAGCTGCCTCTTGAACACCCCCCCCTGGGGATGTGCCCGCAACCAAGGCACATGCCTTTGACCGGAATCAAACCCGGGACCTTTCAGTCCGCAGGCCGACGCTCTATCCACTGAGCCAAACCAGTCCCGGCAAAAGGTGAATTTTTAAGAAATAAAAACTGAACAAAATAAAACAGAAAAAGTAAGGCCCGAGGTGCTCCAACATACGTATAACTGTCCAGCCCAGCAGCTTGTCTGTGGAGTGTCGCCCGGCTCCTGCCCACCACCTCCCCCTGCCCCCTGGCCTCGTCACCCCTGCCCCGAGAGCCAGGAGCCCAACAGGACACGACCACGGCCAGGCCGGAGGGACACAGGGCTTCCCCGGGTGCCATCTTGAAGCAGGAGGACGCCGGTGGCCCGAGTGTGGCACTTCACGGTGCAGCCAATTGAAAAAGCAGATGCCGCTGCCACAGCAGAATCCCTGCTCCTGTGCTCCACTGCCCTTGCTGCCCGGGGCCCAGCACACCCGCCCCCACCTTTTCACACCTCATGTCCATTAAGGCTTCGGAACAAGCTGATATCGATTAGTATCGATACACTGAAATGAAATACTGAAAAGAAGGGTGTAGTAGAAACAGTCACAAACGCTTTGGCCTCATCCCCTGCAAACGACGGTAACTGCCCAAAGCCATCCTGACGAAGGGCCCCAGGGAAGACGGGAGGCTGGGAAATGTACTCTGTCCAGCAGCACACCCTCAGCCTCTCGGGGAACTTGAGCTGCTGGAAAAAATCTCCCCCCAGCAGCCTGGAAAGAGCAGCCAGAGGAACAAGATGGCATTTTAATACTTGCTGCCTCCTGAAAGGGAGTCTGTCCCTGGCCTCCCGCACCGCCTGTGGGCTGGGCTCTCCGCTGGCCCACCAATCCTGGCCCTGGGGAGCGGTGGGCAGGCTGTCTCCAGGCAGGCAGTGTGCTGCCCAGGCTCCTGGGCTTAGTCCTCCAGGTGGTAAATCAAGCCAGCAGGGCAGCCAATCAGGTCCCTCCCTAGGCCTCTGCACCCGCCCCCTGGCTCCCACTCCATGGAGGCTGAGGGGCCTGCAGAGGTGGAGGGGCCGCTCCCAGAGAACCCGAGCTCAGACCAGAATGCCAGGAGTGAGCGCGGGGCGTGCTCTGGGCCCTGCCCTTGGCCGATCTCTCAGAGACCGGCGCCCTGGGCCTCGTGCCCCGTGGCAGCTTCAGGTCCCCCCGCACTGGCCAGGGCTCTGCCCGGTCACCTTTCTCCCGCTTCCCTGACCCCAGAGCGCACTCTGCCTGGTGTTTACTTCTACGACAGGCCTCTGGCAGGAGAGGGCTGAGCGGGACCAAGGCCCGCTGTCCCAACCCCCACCGCTCCTGGCCAGGAAGGAGTTAAGCTCACTCAGCCCTGAGCTCCCAGAGGGGGAGGGGGAGGGGGAGGCTGCGGGCCTGGGGACCACCCTCCAGGTGGGCGGTCACCCTCAGCCTGCTACCTCTCAGCCACCCCCCATTTCAGAAACCCGGGGCCCTGGAGCAGGGCTCTGCAGCCTGCTTTCAACCCACATTAACTTTCAAAGGAATTCACCCAGGTCCATCTTCTTCCAGAAGTTACATTTCACTTAGCGGGACTTACACTTTTATAAAACACATTACATATTCAAACACAGCTGACAGGATGGACTCTATAAAAATAAAACTTTTAAAATGAAGAAAATACTCTTTGGACTCTACGTAAAAACTTTTTTTAAAACTGCCTTCACATAAAAGAAAAACAAATTAAAAAATGCAAACAAGGTCATATAATTCCTTATTGTGTAATAATAATGTGCTAACTGTATTACAGGCCATGGCCTCTGCTCAGATCATCTTTTCAAATACAAAACCAGCGTATTCCTAATTTTCCTTCTTTCCTAACTTCCTATGAGAATCACCTGTGATTACAATGAATGTTATTTTTTCTCCAAATTCAAATAATGCTGAAGTGTGGTTGCACCTAGGAACCCTTTATCATTTTCCTGCCCAAACTGGCCCTGGGGCTTTTTACCTCTTCTCCCCCCACCCACACACACTCTCCTCCAGCTCTCTCCTGACCCCCTGCTGTGCCAGGCCACCTCGGTCTATATATAGTCTGGGTATTAAAGCTGAGACGTGCTTTGTCACAGGGCCATGTACTGATTCCCAGAGCGGGCTGGGCTGGGACCGCCCGGGGGCAGGGGGGCGGGCCTGCTGCGGTCTGTGGCCCAGACAGACAAAGGGACGCATGGTCCAGCCACAAGACCTGGAACCCGCGCCGCCTGCCCGGTCCCTGATGGCAGGACACATCTGACAGAAACCTAGAAAGCCGCTGCCCGGACCAGCAGCTTCAAGTGGGCGCTGAGACAGGGTTTCTGACAACTACACAGGAAACGCACGGAGCAGGCGGCCACGGGCCACCATGCTGCTAAAGCCACAAGTTCTAGAGGGAGCGTGCGCCCCAGCCACGGGCTCATTGTGGAAGCAACCAGAGGGGCCCCGGGCTTCGGTGCCCGCCCGGGAGGGCTGCTGGGCAGGCTGCACCGCGAGGCTGCACAGGGCGGCCCGGCACGGCTCTCGGCGAGCTGGGGCAGGTCTTGGCAGGGCGCCCTTTCCCCGGGGTGACTTGTCCGGGGAGCAGAGGCCCAGGTGACGTTGGGAGGGAGGGAAGACGAGGAGGGCAGACTCCCAGTGCCAGCCCGCCTCAGCGGCTGCCTGGCTGTGTGACCTCAGGCAGCTGACGGACGGACGGAGCCGGACGGAGCCGGGCCTCCATGCCCTGGGGCTGCTGGGAGAGCCAGAAATGACTGGGAAGCACAGAGCTCCACGGGTGGGACCTGCGGAGGCTCCATGCGAACAGCTGCAGGAGCCGGGCTGAGTGACCCCGCTGCTCTGTGCCTCAGCCTGCTCATCTGTAAAATGGGACCCTGTGAGTAACAGTGGCTCATGATGTCAGCTGGGCCTAAGGACAGCCACTGTTTCCGCCCCCTGGGGTGCACTCGAATGCAACTGGGGACACAAGGCAGGCACATGGGAGAGGCCCGGCCCTCTGACTCTGCATTGGTCTGAATTCTGAGAACGCCAGTGCCTTGCCCGTAAGATGGAGCTGGAGAACGTCAGCGGGAAAAGCAGGCAGGAACTCCGGCCTTTCCCCGCTGCCGTCACCAGCAGCTAAGGCCTTTCCCAACGAAAAGGATGTTAAATAGGGCGCATGATGTCACACAGTGCCTCTCCAGTCAGGTGGGGGTGGTGACTGCCTCCCGCCGGCCTCCTGCTGGGCGTGGCAGGCTCCCTGGCGCGGAACCCTGAGCCCCAGGCGACGCATGCTGCCCTGCCCAGGGTGCTGGGCTGCTTTTCAGACACTCCTCTCCGAGCGAGAGGCAGAAGCACGTGTGCGCAAATGGAGAGGCAGGAACATGGTAACAATCAGGGCAGAAGGCCCATGATCTCCACAGCCCCACACTGCATCCTGGGAAGCCTGTTTTGTTTTGTCGCAGGGTCCCCAACAGGTGGACTCCTGCTTCAGGCCTGACACACGGAGCCTGTGAACCCCGGACCTCGGGGCTCCGGCCCAGGCCACCTGGTCAACCCGGAAATGGGCTCTTGGCTCCTCGCCCCAGTGCCACCCAGCGCCGTGCAGATGGGCAGCTGTGGACGGAGAGCCGGCCTGTGCGGAGGGAGCCGGGGAGGGCCTGGGAACGGCTGCGCGGCCAGCACTCAGCCTGCCTTCTCATCACCTCGAGGGAGGATGTGAGCCGGACCCTGTCACTCGGAGCCTCTTGTAAAATCGGGGGCAGATGCTTATGGAGGAGCCCACCTGGGACCTAGCAGCCCGGGGGGGACCCCGGAGGGGCTGGCGGGGGCAGGAGGCTGACTGCTAGGGGGCAGGGGCAGCTGATGGAACCTGAAGAGCTCCAGCTGCTCCTGGCAGGTGGAGGGGAGGGGCCGCTGAGACTGCCAGGCCATGCCAGGGCCCAGCGTGCCCTGCAGGCAGCTGTCGCGTCCCCCCCCCGCCCCCGCCCCAGATGAGGTAAGGAAATCTGGGAGGCAGAATGGCTTTCCGGTCCAGGAGATGACCAGTGGGGGCCACAATCGGCTGCTGGCCCCTCTTCCTGCCAAGATGTTCACATGGGACTCACCCTGCCAAGAGGGACCCCGGCTTCCCAGGACACGCCAGGTAGCTCACCCTAGGGTGCCCTGGAGGCCCAAACGGGGCAGGCCTAGCACGTGTGGGAAAAAGTAAATTTATGTCAAACTGAGCTCAGGCTAGCTGGTTTTGGTGAGGAAATGGTGTCCCACTGGTGTTTCCACATCAGCAGTGCTGCTGCGAGACGTGAGGCCTGAAGGGGAGCTGCTCCCGTGGCACGTGGCTCTGATCACAATCGCCCTCCTGCCCGGCCTCCTGGCTCCGACCGGCTCTAAAGAAAGAGCCGCCTTACCGCCTCCTCCCGCAAGGCTCCGTGAGAGTGAAAGCAGGGAGTCTGCAAGTCCCTCCTGAAAAAGTTAAAGCTCTAAAAATAACTGATAAAGTACTTCCTGGAAGTCAGCCACGGCCCCAGAGTCCCTGGGCAGCTGCCCCGGAGGAACGAGGCTCACCACCAGGGTGGCGACAGGGCCCCAGGGGGGAGGCCGCGGGCCTCTGCCTGCCCGTCCCCACCAGGGGGGCTTGCTTGGAAGAAGCAATTCTGATCTGTTCGCCTGTATCTTTAAACTTTCCCAGAACGGCTGTGTGACAACAGCGGTTTCATAAAGGTGTTCTACAGGAAAGGGGAGCAGAGCGTCCTGAAAACCTCCCTGGGCCCCAGGGGAGGAGCAGGCCCCTCCCCCGCCCCCTCGGAGCTGAGTGCAGGGTGCGGCCGCCCTCCAGGCCTCAGCTTGCTCACAGGGGAACAAGTGCCACCCCAGCTAGTCTGCAAGGTACTCTCAAGGGCTCCTAGTGGGGTCCCCGCCAAGCACGGGCAATGCCCTCTAAACTTGGGGTCCCCACCACAGGATCAGGGTCCCAGCCCGAGGGCCTTCCCAGCGGCACATGCGGCAGGAGGGGCAGCAAGGGCGCCTGTTGGTGTGGGCCCGCGTGCTAGGCGAGGCTGTGCTCACCCCCCCCCCCCCCCCCCCAGCTATCCAGAGTGAGCGGACGTGCGAGGGGCTCAGGCCCTGCCTGCTGGCTCACTGCAGCTGCTGCCATCGGCAGGCTCGGGGTGGGGCTGCTGCAGCTGCTGCTGAGAACTTGTCCGTGGCCAGCCCCTGGAGGAGGGGGCAGGCTGCAGAGTCCCCAGGGCTGGAGCTCGCCAAGCCAGGGCTTCTCACAAAGAAGGGAGAGGCAGGGGCGCAGGCCCCCCAGATGCTGAGGAAAGAAACGGTCTTGGTTGAACCAAGTCCTCAGAGAGTTAGTAACTAAGCGTTCCATTTACATATTGTAATCTTAAAAGCCAACAAAAACGGTTCATATTCTTTCTCTAGAAAATCGTCCAGGGAAGCCACATGACTGGCTGTGGTGGCCAAAAAGCGAGGCAGGATTTCAGTGATCCCTCCCTCCAAATTCCAGAGGAGAGGGGGGCGGGCTGCGCAGCTGCAGCAGCTGCTCCCAGCAGGGCCACGTGTGCAGGCCGCAGCCTGGAGGTGTGGAGGGAGGCCCGAGGCTTGGAGAGGGCTGGGCGGGGAGAACAGGGTAGCGATGGGGAGCAGGGGGGGGGGGGTAGGGGGGGTGCAGCACGCACTGACTGAGTCATCCCCTGGCCCTCGGACTCCGGGCCCCTGCAGGGTGGGGCCATGGGGTGGTGAGGAAGGGGCAGCTGTCCACCCATCACTCACAGAAGCAGGCAGCAAGGGGAAGGCAGGAGCAGGAGCCAGCGGGGGTGGCGAGCAGAGAGGATTTAGTGTTCTGAAACGGCAGGGACATGTTGGTGGCTCGGGCTGACCCTGGCTCTGGGACGGCCATCACGACCATTCCGGGACACAGCTGCTCCTGTCCTGCGGGAGCCCGCGCCCTGCTCTCCGGGATCCTGGCAGACACAACCCCGTAACGCTGCCGAGTGTCCAAACATGGGGAGAGCAGGCACCCTGCTCCCCCACTCAGGGCCCCCAGTGGCCCCCAGCACCCGGGCTCAGCTTCAGTGGCCCCTGGTTCCAATGGCTCTGACCCCGAAGGCACCAGGAAGGCGGTGGGCACACTCTGCAGGGGCTAAGAACAGAGGGCTGGGGGCCTGGCATGAGGGCGGGAGGGGGGGCACCGAGGAAGGACAGTCTGGCTCCAGGATGGGCCACGGAGGCCCCAACCGGGGTGAGGCAGGCGCGTCACCTCCACACCGCACTTGCTGGGAAGTAACCTGTACTTGGCAACCAAGGGCAGTTTTTCTCGCCAAAGATGGTCTGACATCGAGGCCCATTCATTAAATCTTCAAGCCTCGGGAGACCCAATTTTGCTCGTTAGTAAATGCCTGTCAAAGCCCTACGCAAGGCAATTAATTCACTTCCAGAAAATTAATTTTTAAAATTAAGCAGAGAGAGAGGAGCTGATTTGGAGCGAAGACAGTATTCATGCCCTATTAATAATGGGGTTAACATATGTGACTAATTGTGTTTACAAAACAAGCGGGGAACTTGCTGCCACAAGTCACCGCGGGGCTGCACGAGGCCTCTGGCTGGAGACCCACCGACCACGCGGCCGAAGCCGAGAGGGCACGGCTCGCCCCGCTCCAGAAACCTGGGGTCCCCGTGCGTCCCTCTCCACCCCCCACCTCCTGCCCACCAGGCCGCTCGCCCCCTCACGGTGTCTCCTGCTTCCTCCGAGTGTGGCAGTCCCTGCCGCCAGGCACCAAGACCACATTACACCTGCTGGGACATGTTTCTCTCTCCACCACGTCACGTCTGCGAGACCCTGGCCCACTCCCAGGCGTGGGGCCGCCTCCCTGTGGAGGGGACCCTGGTTCCAGACCATGGAGCCCGGCTGCCCCGGCCTGTCTCCTGCCCAGATCCACTTCCTCCCCATTGCAGCCAAGAGGGTCTCCCGTTTCCTGCAGCCACACCAGCCCCGGACACAAGCACGGGCCCTGACTGCTGAGGGAGGAAGCCCAGCTCCAGCGGAGTGGGGGCTGGGGCACTGCGGGGCTGGCTGCGGCATCCCCGCCCCAGCATCGGCGGCCTTTCTGGGGCCCCAGGCCTCCGTCAGGGAGACAGCCCTGGCATGGCGTGGGCCCGCAGGCTGGGCCCTGGAGTGGTGACCAGGCTGCGTGCTCGGACTTTGTGTGCAAAGAGGCAGGACGTCAAAGTCCCCGTCTTCCCTCAGGCATGTGGCAGAGGAGCCGGCCTCCTTGCCCATCACAGTCCCAGGGGGGCTGGAACCCATGCCGCTGCCCACCACGACACACGGCACCACCGCTCTCCACCAGATCAGCTCGAACCCAGAACGCAGAGCATCCCTCCCTCTGAGGAGCACTACTTGCAGCCGGCTCCCTGCCTGCTGGTCTCCAGAACCAGAGGCGTCTGTGCGACAGAAACACAGACACCAACACGACGTTCTCATGGGCAACTAGCGCCGATCCAGGGAAAGCAGCAGGCAAGGTTCCTGGTTCCCCATTCTGCTTCGAGCTGGACAGCGTGGGCGGAGGCCATGGGCCTGCCAGCGCTGGGGAGCCAGAGCATCTCTGCACAGCTGTACTCTAGGACGAGCCACTTTGTCAGCAGCCTCAGTGACCAGCCCACAGACAGCTTGCCTAGAGCTTATTTGAGGCAGGAGGTCACCAGGGAGGCAGATGGCCCACGTGGACGGGAGGCACGTGACAGAGGGCCTCGGCCTGGCAGCTCTGGCCCCAGACGGGCCTTACCTCACCCTCTAAGTGCTGGTGGGAGGACAACGCGGCCCGTTTGGAGGCGTGAGGTCAGAATGGGGGCAGAGCTCGCAGCTGGCGAGCATCAGGAGAAACGCCTCTGCACAGCGCGCCTGCCCCTGCCTCGCCCGGGACAGGGGGCTTTCGGGGCGCAGGGACTGGGGTGCGTCAGCCTTCACGGCAAACGTGGCAAAGTCCCAAGGGAGCAGAAGGGGATGATTCTAGCAGAAAAGGCAAAGGGACTCCTGAAACACTGCTGCTGAAAAGAAAGAACCTCAGGGCCCAGTTAAAACCAGAGGCTCTGGAGCCTGAAGTCAGGACGCACCCCAAATCAAACACCCACACTGGGTCACATCAATCCCACCATTCACACCCGGTCCCATCCAAGTTCCACTAAATTAGGGCTGGGCCTCAGTTCCCCTGCTGCAGAGAGAGAACACTGTACCTACCTCTTAGCTTGTGTTGAGAAACAAACACATGAACAAATAGAGAATAAGCCACTTAGAACAGGGCCTGGCAGAGAGCCCTCAGTGACAGTTAGGTGACCTGAGGTCAGGGGAGTTTGTCATACTTATTCCCCCCGCCCCCCAACACGCACACACAGAACATCCTGGGTCCCCCTCCGAGCCTGGGACCCAACCTGGCCCAGGCCCTGCCAATCAGAAGGGACAGAGCTGCCAGCCCATCGCGGACGAGCGGGTTACTGGTGCCGTGGTCTTGGGCACGTGACTGGCACTCTGCCTCGGCTTCCTCCCTGGGAGACGATGGCGCACAGTTCGCTCGGCACGGGCTACGTCAGTGGAGGAAGTACTGGCTCAGGAAGGTGGCCGTCTCCCTTGGGCCAAGGAACACCCTTCCCGGAGCAGATCACAGTCAATCAGGGCTGTTCCATGGACACTGACGGGCAGGGGCCCGAGAGCCCAGCGCAGAACCCCTTGTCGACCCACCAGGACCGGGTCCCAGATCATGTGGTGGTGGAACGGTTCAGAAAGCTAAAACTCACTCTTCAGAAACAAACTGCTGTCATTTTAAAAGTCGTTTGTGTGAGGCTCCTTCTAAAGCACAGATACATCGTTGACTTAATAGACGAGACAGTGAGCAACACGTTAAGAAATCTCGCAAGGCAACAAGCAAACCTGCCCGAGGAAACAGGCTGAAAGGCCTCCCAGCGCCTCTCCCTCCTCCCGGGAGGAGCCCCCGCCTGCCACGGCCAGCAGCCGGCGCCCAGGCCGGGCCCACTCACCTTCTTCGCCGGAGGCTGGCTGGGAATCAGCAGCGGGCCTGGGCCCGAGGCCGAGGCCGAGGCCGAGGCCGAAGCAGAGCCGGCGCCCGCGCCCGCCTGGAGCGCAGAGGGGCCATCCTTTTTGCCGAGCTCCGGGAAAGGGTTGGGGATGGCCGGCAGCGACGAGGTTTTCAGCTGCTGGTCCTCCTCCTGCAGGCGCCTGGGGGGAGAGGCGAGCATGGTTAGAAGCTGCCGCCGATATGCCCGGCAGTCCCACTCCTGGGGATGCACGCAGACACAGAGGCACTCAGAGAGTAAGTAAATACGGGGAGGTCACAACAGGACTATTCACAACAGTCAAAGGCAGAAGCAGCCCGCGTGTCCATCGACGCATGAATAGATGGCAACACGGGCCCATCCATAGAAAGGGGAAGTTATTCAGTCTCGGAAAGGGACAATATTCTGACACATGCTATGACATGGATGAGCCTGGAGGACACTTTGCTAATTGAAAGAAGCCAGTCACAAAAAGACGAATCCTATGTGAGCTCACTCCTCAGCAAACTCAGAGACAGGAAGTGGAAAGTGGGTGCTGGGGCCGGGGGAGGCAGATGGGGCACTCGTGTTGCATGGGGACAGATTTGATTTTGCAAGATGACCAGATTCTGGAGGCTGGTTGAATGACAATGTAAAGATGTGTAACACTGGAACTGTACCCTTAAAAATGCTCCAGATGGTAGAGCTTAGGTCATGTGTATTTTGCCACAATTGAACGTTTTGGCAAAGCTACCATCTCAGACTCAGGGTGAGAGCACTGGGCGCACGCCTGTGGCAGGCGAAGCCGCCAGCACTTGTGTTCCAGGAAGACCTGCCATGCGGAGAGGTTTTGTGAATAAGGGCATTTTCACGAGCACAACTACTTTCCGATGACCTTGAATGAGCACTTCTCTGACCCAATGCGAGTATTCTAAAAGACTTCCTGCATCCTCCTCTGAATGCGCGTTACACAAAGAGGCTGCTGACACTGAGCTCATTGGAAGGAAAGGCTGCATGCGGCGGTCCCGCTGCAGCACAAAGGCCCGGTCCGCGCCGTCCCAGCACTGCCTGCTGCACCCACTCGCACACCGGGAGCCACTTCCTCGTCGTGCTGCGCCGCCCTCTCCTTGGCGTCTCTCCAGAGCTCCCTCCTCCCAGCAACACAAACCTCACTTGTCATACAACCAAGCAAAACATACACAGATGATGAATCAGATGCAATTAGGAAAACAGCAGAAAAACCAAGTTCAAAGTGAAAGCGAAAACAGTGCGAAGTGCCCTGAGCTTCCTCCCCCTGGGGATCCTGCTGGCAGCTGCCGCCCACAGGCACAGGGGTCTGCTGGGAGGGGCCCGCTGTCTGTCCCAGGGTGGCACTGCGCCCGCAGCCTGTCCCTGTCCCTGTCCCTGTCGGGCACTCCCACTCCTCTCTGCACAGACCTCGAGGGGGACGCTGTCTTCGCGTCACTTTCTCACTGAGTTTACACTGTGGCTGAATGAATGATCTGTTTGCTTTGTGTGTGTGTGTGTGTGGGGGGGGTGTGTGCACCAGGACATGAACAAACACTGGGACCCTTTCACAGGTGCTCCGGGCTCTATGGGCCCCGGCAGGGATGCCCACGCCCAACGTGCGTGCTGCCACGGTACCAGGGAGCCCAGCGCCTGGAAGACGTGATGGCCTCTCACCGACACCCTGCCAGCGGGCTCGTTTCCCTGCGAACCAGCATCGCTCTCCCTGGAACAGCTTCCGCCTGGGCACACGTCTAGCTGTCACGTGTCCCTGGCCCAGACACGCCCACCTGCGGTGTCTTCCTGCCCAGACCTGGAACCCGGGCCCAAAAACATGGCTCAGTGTTCTGACTCCTGGTAGGAGATGCTGACGTCCTAACGCTCCAGCTGTTCACAAAACCTCCTCTTTAGTAGGCTTTCCTGAGCATTTAAAAAAACCCTGAGTGTTTTAAGGCAGTAAACATTCTGCGTGTGGTATTTTAAAGATGGATTGATGTTGCCATTCATCTGTGCAAGCCCACAGCGCGTCCACCACCAGCTGGGAACCCTGATGGGTAAGAGGGACTTTGGGTGATGATGACGTGTTAAGGCAGATTCATTGATTATAACAAATATTAACAATACCTCTGCTGGGAATGTTGACGATTGGGGAGGGGAGTGTACAGGAAATCTCTGTATCTTCCTCTGAATTTTGTTAGGAACCTAAAACTGAATTTAAAAATAAAATCTTAAAAAACAAACAAATAAACAAAACATTTCCTTAATGAAAAAGGCTGGATACATAAGGTCCCATGTTATAGGGTTCCACATATGTGGAATGTCCAGACTAGATGGCCCCACAGCAAGGCTGCAGAGGGCGGTGGTGGGGCTGCTGACCGGTGCACTCCCTGTGAGGACGGAAATGTCCGGGAGCCAGAGTGAGGTCCCCGGACACGCTGGGAGTTACTCAGTGTCCCTGAGCTGTGAGCTTCACAGTGGTTCCTTCCATGTCATGTGAGTTTCACCTCCATCAGTGATGTTTACTAGCGGACTTTACAGCAGGTCACCAATACTGTCCAGAGCTAAGCTAAGGGGCATCACAGAGGCTGAGAGACCCAGGTGGGAGGTGCAGAGAGGACAGCCCCCACCCTGCCCTGCCACAGGAGGCCCGTGGGGACCGAGCAGACACCGGGTGAGGTGTCTGGAGATGGAGTGGACACTCAGGGGACGGGGTGTGAAGACCGAGCAGACAAACTGGGGGCCATGGAGAAGGAGCTGACCCTGGGGTGGGGGGGTGCAGGGAGATGGAGCAGACACGGGGCGGGGGGGGGGGGGGGATGGAGAGAGCGGGGAGACAGAGCAGACAGGCTGGGTCCCACACACGCCCTCTGTTCCACCGCAGCCCACTCCGCCCTCAGGGCCCGGTTGCCTGGTCCTGGGGCAAGCCCCCTCTCCTCCACAATGCGGGGGACAACCTCTGGGGTGAGTCAGCGAGGACCCTGACCCGGGTCCCAAGCCGCTGCTCGCTGCGTCTCCACCGCTCAGGGCCCTCGGCCCGGGTGTGCATCCGGGCTCCCCCCGCGGAACCGAGGGCCGAGTCACCTCCCCGGCCGTGGTTTCCTCACCTGGGCTCTGAGGGCCATGCCATGCCCCTCACAGACCCGTGGAGACCTACACCCCCGAGAAAGAGGACCCCGCACTTACACACCGGAAGTGACCTGCACGCACAGGACCGGAAACGCAGGGCATGCACAGGAAGCACAGAGCACACAAAGCAGGGCAAGCACCGGAAGTGGGGGCACGCACAGGAAGCACAGGTATCACAGGAAGTGCTCGCACTGTACCGGAAGTGCGTACACACGCAAGGGGGGCACGTACAGGAAATGCAGGGCACGCACAGGAAGCATAGGCACCCCTGGAAGAGCAGGGCACGCACAGGAGGCTGAGCACGCATAGGGAGAGTTCCGGCAGCGCACCGGAAGCAGGCAGCCACGGCGGGAGCACGCACAGGAAGTGCTGGGCACGCACAGGAAGTGCTGGGCACTGTGCTGAAGCCCAGGCACGAGGGGGAGGCACCTGCAGGAAGTGCTGGGCACACACAGGAAGTGCTGGGCACGCACAGGAAGTGCTGGGCACGCACAGGAAGTGCTGGGCACTGTGCTGAAGCCCAGGCACGAAGGGGAGGCACCTGCAGGAAGTGCTGGGCACGCACAGGAAGTGCTGGGCACGCACAGGAAGTGCTGGGCACTGTGCTGAAGCCCAGGCACGAGGGGGAGGCACCTGCAGGAAGTGCAGGGCACACACAGGAAGCAGGGGCACTACCCAGGAAGCGTTCAGCTGACCCTCTCGCAAAAGGAACGTTTGTGATCCTGTACCTGTTACCCCACCTTTTCAGTGTGCAACACAGCCCTGCGGACTCACCATGCCCCTGGGCCGCGCTCATCATGCAGGCCCTGTGCCCGTGGCCGCCCTCCCCCGCGCCTGCAGCCACTACCCGCGCTGCCGCTGCCGCTGCGCCTGGATATGTAGGCTCCGCCTAGAAGTGGAGTCATGCAGGGCCTGCCCTGGGGGGCTCGCTCACCGGCCCGGCCCTGCTGCCTGTCCGAGGAGGAGGGGAAAGGAGATGTGTGCGTGCCTACGAGTGTCATCCACCGGAAAGAGGAAGGGACTCCTGCCACCCGGGAGCAGCGCCACTGCTCGCAAACCTCTCCCCATTCCTGGACTCCCCCACTCAGAGACCTACCGTCTTCCGCACGCAACTCTCCTCCGGCCCTCCCTCCAGCCCAGAATTTCCAGAGGCTCCTCCACTCACTCCCTGGGAAATTCGTCACATGTCTGAGGTGGCACCATTCCGGCAAGAGCCCGGGGGATGCCACTGCCCCTGGTCCTGGACCCTGCTCTGGGCAGCCAGGCCTTGGATACCTCCATGGACTGCCCGGCCACTTTGTTCTTTCCAGAGCATTCTCCTCTGACAACTTCCTTGACATCCCCCCACTTAGCCCCGTGCCTGGCTCAGAGCAGGTGCTCAGTCTGTCATCTAAGCTGAAGCCCCGCCCAGTGCAGTCATGCTACCCGGGGAAGAGGCTTTATCTGCCACGGGTCTCACAAGGCCACCCTGTCACCCCGTAACCAGCAGAGCAGCAGCTCTGACCCACGCGATCCCCGCAGGGCTCCCACCTGACAGCCAGGATGTGCATGGGCTGGGAGCGCTGCACCTTCTGCTGTCCAGACGCCTGCGGCTCCGCGTTCCGAGCCCCTGAGGGTGGTGGCTGGCCACGGGTGCTCTGGCGCAGGGGCACCGTCTCGGTCTGCATGCTGCTAGATGATGGGCACAGACTCTCCAAGGATGTATTCATATCATTCACCAGACCATCAAGGTCAGGCTCATCTGGGCATTAAAAAGGCAAAGCGGAAAGAAACGTTAGTAGCAGCGAGGGGTCACACCCGAACGTGCACCTTAGCGACCGGGTTCCAAGCATGGAAAACAGTCACTTGAGGTCACAGTAACAAAACTGGGAAGTATTTGTTTCCGTAAGGGTTGATAGCGATGGCGTTTATTAATATTGATATTCCAGAAGCAATTCAATAATCATAGTCCAACTTCACGTCACCTGTCTGCACAGGAGACACCTTCCATCTGCATACCCATCGGGGTGGGTGGGCAGGCCACCATCACTGCACAACATGACCCCGTGCCCTGGTCTCTGGGCCCACTGGCCAGCTCACAGGTGGACACGGAGCCCTAAGCAGGCCGGACAGGGTTCCCCCTTCCCTGAGAATCAAGCAGTCAGACAGGAACAGCAACACCAACAATGCCACTAGCCCTGGCCCCTGAGAGCCACCAAGAGGGCTGCCTGGTGGTCAGAGCCATGGCACACAGGCTCACTGTGATGCGGGCACCCCCAGCTGCCCCTCCTCTGCCCTCGACACAGCCTGAGAGCCAGAGGAAGTCTTCTCGGGAGAGTGCCTGTGGCCGACGCAGAGAGAAGCAGGGATGGCCAAAACCGGTTTGGCTCAGTGGATAGAGCGTCGGTCTGTTCCGGTCAAGGGCATGTACCTTGGTTGCGGGCACATCCCCGGTTTGGGGGTGTGCAGGAGGCAGCTGTTCGATGTATTTCTCTCAAGTGTTTCTAACTCTCTCTTCCTCTCTGTGAAAAATCAATAAAATATATTAAAGAGGGAGAGAGATAGAAGCAGGAATGGTGCCTACAACTCCACTGCGAAGACCAGAGAACGTCTGGCCGAGGGCACTGGAGACTCAGTGCATCCTTAGGTGCCAGCCCGGCTAGAACGCGAACCAATATATGGGTCACACCGCGGTCCTGGCAATGCTGCACGCTGCATTTCAACGTGGTTAGCCGAGTCAGTAGGCTGAGGGGAGCCAATGGCCGCCACCACGGGGGTGGACCCCTCTCATCAGCGGAAGGCCTTGAGAGAAAAGACTGATGTCCCCTCAGCACAAGGGAGTTCTGCTTTCCGACTCCCCTGCACTCCCTCCGGGTCTCCATCCTACAGCTTGTGGATCTGCAACTCCACAGCCACGTGAGCCCATTCCTTAAGCACCCCGCCCCCCACACTCATGTGCGATTGTGTATGTGGTACGTGTGTGTGACAGACGCACACCCCACTGTGCCGTTTCTCTGGAGAACCTGGCTAACCTGTGGTGAGGGAGGTGACCCAGCACCCTGAGATGGAGGAGATGGAGGAAATGGAGGACAGGGCCGGGAAGGGCGGGAGCTGGGCCTGGGATGGGAGTGGGCTCGGGCAGCTGTGCATGCCCGGCTGCTCCTGCTGGCAGCTGTGTCCGACATTCCGACCGCGTGGAATAATTGTGCTCCGGCAGAGTTCGTTTCGCTCACTGTAACCCAATACGCTGCACTAACACGGACCCCATTTTTCCGAGTTTCCCAGACCTGTCACTTTTTAACAACTTGGTAAATAACAGCTGAGGGTGACTCCGAGGCAGCACATTGCTGGTCACGTATTCCGTCTCATTTGTTCCCCTAACGGCCCCATGTGACACCCGCTTAACAAACAAGGGGCCCAGAGCTCATGGCAGGAGACCCTCCGCCTCCCAGAGGACTGCCCCGCTGGTGCTGGCGCGGAGAGCAGAGGGTCACAGGCCGGGGGGAGGGGGCTGGCCCAGCCTTGCCTGGGGCCTGGTCTCTGTTTTCCCACCGGGAACCTGGGGGGAGGGCGGGGGCAGAGCTCGGGCAGAGCCGGCCACAGCAAACACTCAGCAGTTATTTATTAGCCCTGCCCATCCAGGCCTCCGAGCGCAATCTAAAGGTGACTATTAACCTGGTGCCCCGGCCGCCCAACAGGCCCGGAGGAGCCGAGCAGCCTGCCAAGATCACACGAGCGCTAAGGAGCAGGCCCGGGACTGGAAAACAAGTTTGGCAGCTCCCAACTGGAGCTCCCCAGGTGCGAGCTCAATGAATGAGCTCACAGAACTCTCCAGAACCCTGGGCACTCCTGTCTCCTGCTCCCAGCACACCAATCTCAGGTGCAAGGACAGGCCCCGAGGAGGACAGACAGAGGGACGAGGGGACAGACAGCACAGACAGTGGAGGCCTGGCCGGCAGGGGCTGCTGACCGGAGCAGAGGCCCTGAGCCCGTGCTGTGAGGGGGGCCGGGGGGGCGGAGCTCTGGGCTGCAGGGGAGAGGGAGGTGGGACAGGACCCAGAGTCTGACTCGGGGAAACCAGCTCATGGGCCCAGCGTTCCCGGGCCGTGAGGGGAGACGGCGGCGCAGCTATAGGCCAGGTTATGAGCCGTCAAATATTAATCCCGGGGCCAGATATTAAGAGGACAAAAGTGCTAAATTAATAATTAATAATTACCACAGCATTAATATTTAATGCATCACATGGGAGGACACCCAAGTCAGCGGACAGAGCTATGCCCTGAGTCCTGGGGGCAGGGGCGGGTGGGAGGGGAGGGGAAGAGGGGTTGACAGAAACCCAGGACCTTGGAGGGTCCCCTTGTCCCTGCAGGCATGTGTGTGTGTGTGGGAGGGGGGAAGGCCCAAGATGAGCTGTCAGCCATAAACCAAGGAAGCAACTCATGGTGATGGCTGAGCCCGAGGGCCAGCCTCAAACCGGGAAGAGGCCTTGCACAGGCCTCTGAGGTTCTGAGACCTCGGAGGGGGCTCCTCTTGGAGGAGAGGTGCCAGCTACACTGAAGCCCGCAGGCCAGGGCTCCAGGATTGGCCCGGAACGTGAAGCCACCCCCTCAGGCCCTGCGCCCCGACTCCCCCGAGGGCCACCGAGGTTTCCCTCTGAACAGGCCGCTTGGGCACCGATGGGGTGGGCACAGCGCTCCGTCACTACGAAGTGACTTCCGTGTGCGCCCGGCGGCACGCCACAGCCTCGCCACGCCTGCTTACACGCAGGAGAAAGCCCGCCGGACACGGACACAAAGGCTGTTTTCATCGCTGTCACCGGCCGGGGGAGGGATCAGACAGGAGGACGGGCTGGCTGACCGACTTCTCCCAGGAAAAAAGTCTGAGCGCCCGGGACTGTGCCCACGTCTCCGCCTTCCCCTCTGCGCCCAGCGGGCCCCTCCCCGCTGCCCGCTGCCTCGGGCTCCCTGGGGTCGGAGTAACTCTGACGATGTTCAGAGTATCAAAACGGTGCGCTCCTCCGCAGCGGGCGGCAGCGCACACCTCGCACTGCAGGGGCCACCAGCGCCGCTACTCACTCCGCACACGTCCCACGCGCCTCTGTCTTGCTCCTTAGAGCAAAAATAAACCTTTTTAAAGAATCTAAAAACCGCCCTTCCAGAGCCGTGTGGGCCGCTGGAGTGGCGTGGCGTGTTCTGAGACAGTAAAAGCAGAGTGAGCCTCAGGCTTGTTTAACCTGTTACGTTCTGTGGGGGACTGGTAGTGGAATCGTCCAAACTGGGATCTTAGAGGACCGGTTCCAAAGACCATATTTCTCCATCCTCTTTACGCTTCCCGCTGAGATATCCCCACGTGGCATCGGCTCCTCGCAGACCTCCCGCGGGCTCACACTCCGGGGCTGACTGGCAATCACTCACATGTGTTTGGGAGAAGCAGACAGGGGCGTTACGTGAACGCGGAGGGTCTGCTCCCTGCGAGCCCGAAGCCCACACTGGCCGTGGGAAGGCGGCGCGGGCGGGCGCGGGCGGGGAAGGGAACATGGTTTTCTGACCCTCTCCCCGCACACACGTTCCTCGGGTGTATTGACCGCACAAATATAGGTCACACCACACGGCGGTGAGTGGAGTTATTCATAGCTCCCCTCCTTCCTGGAATAGGCCGGCCTAAAACGGGCCGTCGACTTTTGTCCCAAATATCTAACTGAGCAGCTCATCTGACCTCAGCTCCCAAGTGCACCTCGCCGCCCTGTCCTCAGCACACCGAGGCCGCGGCTCTCCAAGGGGTGGACAGGCGGCGAAAATAGCTCGGGGTTGGCTCATGAGCTATCCTGGGTGCGTCTCCCCACCGACGGACGGAGCCAGGCTGAGGCTGTGCCCAGCCGGGCCGAGGCCCACCTCACCCCGCACGACACCTGCTGAGTCTGCAGCCTGCCTAGGCCCGCTCCCACTAGACAGCAGGCTGACTCCCCCCGCCCCCCTGGGCCACTGCGCCCCGCCGGCCAGCCGGCCGGCCGGAACAGGGCTCCCTGCCTGTGTGTGCAGGACACGGGGAGCCGTGCGCCTGCAGGGACCCTCCCGGTCGTCCCCTCTTCTGTCCCAGGCACCTCTCACTGGGGAGGCTGGGGGTGGCCTTGCTCACACAGCTAACACCCCCGGGGGTCAAGGAAGTAGATTCGCCCCGAGGAGCAGCAGCTAGAAGGCGCTCGGAGGCCGTGAGGAAGTAACATATGTATAACCTCCCTCCACGGTGTCTGCCCCTGGGCCCGGGGCTGTTCCGTCATCGAGAGAGGAGCCTCCTGCCCCCGAGCCCGCTCCTTGGCCCCCACCTGGCTGTGTGCCCACGAGAGCCCCGGGAGGCCAGGGAAGGGGCAGGCTGCTCAGGGCACCAGCCACACGACAGGGAAGCTTTTGGGACCCCCTCCCGGCCTTCTTGGGAGATGTCATCGCCAGCGGAGATGACTTCCGCTGTCCGTCTATGTGGCGAATTTCTACGTACCCTCCCAAGTGGGTTCAGCTCTAGCCAGCTTTCCCGGTGGTTAGGGCGTCAGCGCTCAGACTCGAAGGGTCAAAGGCACAAACCTTAGTTGCAAGCTCGTTACCCGGCCCGGGTGGGGGCAAATGCGGGAGGCAGCCCACCGGTTGTGTCTCTAGTCTTTCCCTCTGCCTTCCACTCGCCCTAAAATCACGGGGAAAGTATCCTTGGGAGGCCCTGGCTGGTGTGACGCACTGGTTCGAGCGTCGCCCCGGACCGAAGGGTCGCAGGCTTGATTCCTGGCCCGGGACCGGCGTGTGTGGGAGGCAAGCAACCGATGTGTGTCCCATGGATGTCTCTCTGTTTCGCCCTCTCCCTTCCACTCTCTCTGTGAAAGTCAATGGAAAAATATCCTCGGGTGAGAATTAAAAAAATAAGTACTATAACACCTTTGTTTTTTGTGGGTTTTTTTTTTTTTTTTTTTTTTTTTTTGCTTTTTTTCATAGAAGAAAATGGGGATCAGAGAGCTTCTGGGTTGGGGGGCAGTGTCCTAGGCTGGGAGCTGGCACCCTCAGAGTGTGCCCAACTCCATGCCTCCGCTCGCCCTGTGTCCCCCCCTCCCCCTGCCGTCCCTGCCCCCCACGCTTTCCTAACACACTGCAGACCAAGGGAGGCATGCTTCTGAGCAGAACGTGTGGGCTGACCCAGCAGATGGGACCAGGCCTGGGTCACGCCAGAGCTCAAAGGAGCCGTGGGGCACCCAGCTGCCGGGTGGGGGGGGCGAGAGTTGCCGAGCAGGAGGGCCCCCACCCCCACATCTGGGGGACAGAGGACTGGATGCACATGAAGAAGGGGGGGCTTTTCCGGGCGGCGCCGTGCCCGGATTCCTGAACGCATGCGCGGATGCCAAGGCTCACGCCCCCGGACGCCACGGCGCGTCCAGCCGGCACGAGTGTTCTCAGCGGGATCATGTTCGGCCCGAGAGCCATTTCTGTTGACCTCTAAGCAAGTAAAACCTTGTGCAGATATAACTCCCCAGTCAACTGAAATGCCTTTCTGGCACACAATTAATCTCCCCGGCTCATGAGCCCCGTCCAGGGGCGCCGTCTTTCCCACGGAGAGCGGCCTGCACACAGAGGCCACCAAAACGTGGTGGCTTCGCAGGCAGCCGTCGCCATCTGTAATCGCGAGACCGAGGGAGCCAGAGTGGACTGGGCATGTCTTTCTTGGAGCCACTTTTAAAAAGTAAAAATAGGTTTTTACCTATCCCTGCCTCCACACCCCCCCCCCTCAAAAAAAACACAAAAAACTAAAAGCTGGGACTCAAAGAGAGATCTGTGAGCCGTGTGCACAGTGGTGCGATTCATAATTCATATAGCATAACTGCCGCGGGTGAAAGCGGCCCACTGTCCGCAGAGGGGGAAGCAAAACACGGCCGTCCGCGCGATGGAACATTACTCATTCGTTTTGTTGTTGTTAATCCTCACCGAGACGTTTTTCCATCGATTTTCGGGGAGAGCGGGAGGGAGCGGGGAGAGAGGAGAGGGAAAGAGAAACATGGATGTGCGGGGGACACGTGGGTGAGGGCCAGGAACCAGACCCACAGCCGAGGCCCATGCCCTCCCCTTCCTCTCTTCCGCTGGGGCTCGGTCTGGGCTGCCCAGGGAGGGTGGGCAGCACCTATGGAAACACAGTGGCCTGTGTCCCCAGCAGCCGGGCGAGGCGGGAAGTGGGCAGCGTGCTGGCTGCGGGGCCCTGGGGAGGGGCCGCCGTCTCCCCCACGGACAAACGCCTGGTTCTTGGGGCCGGCGAGGTGGCAGCTCCCTGGGCTGCGCCCCGGGAGGCGAGGGGGCGTCACAAAGTCCAGCCAGACGCCTGGTGGCCAGACGGTGCACCTGGACCGCGGCGCACGGCGAGGGCGAGATAATAATTAATCGCCCTGGACTTTGCTTCCGTGCGGTTTACGGTCTGAATCCGCGTTTGAGGGGACTCGAGGGTAATCCTATCCAAAGTCAATACGCGGGCAGGTAAGGCAGGAAGACAGCCATGCCCGGTGCTTCCCGTCACGGAAACCCAAGCCCCTTGGCGAGGCGGGAACGTGAGCAGCGAGGAGCCCCCTTTCCTGCCCGGGGCCCCATCCGGCCCGGGTCCAGGAAGCCCCCGAGCCCCTCGGCTTCCTCCGGGCTTTACGACCTGCGTCCGCCTGGGCCTCCCCCACAGCCCTTTCCTCTCCCAGGAGCGAGGGGCCCCCGCCCGGACCCCGGCCTGAGCCTGCTGACGTGACACAGAGCAGGCCCCGCAGTCTGCTCCTGCTCCCAGGGCCGCCAGGGAGAAAGAACAGAGACCCGCTCTCAGAGCTGGGGGGAGGGGGGAGGAGGGGAGGAGGGCAGGGCACCGAGCACCCTGCCCGCCCCGCGGCGCCTGTTCTTTCTCAGCCTGACTGTGGTCCCCGGAGCTCCGGGCCACGGCCATGGGCAGAAGCCGGCGTCCACACGTGTGGCTCTGGAAGGGCTCACCTTCCCGGGTCTGACCCACGTCCGTCTAACAGCCTGCGGCTGAGGAGGGCAGACCTCGGGCACGGCCCCAGGGCCGCCTGCCTGCACCCCTTCTCCACACCACCTTCCAGGGCAGTCCAACTCCAGGGCATCCGGGTGACCCCATTCAGTGGGACACCCCAGGCCCCTTGACATTCGCTCCAGAAACGTGGCCTCCGTGCACCGAGCCCGTGACTTCCTGCGCTCGGCAGACAGTCACCAAGCAGCAAGGGCGTGGGTGACACGGGTGCAGGCCCTGTGGTCACCCAAAAAGACACCACCCCCACCCCGGCCCCCGCCCCCGTCCCCGCGCGCTGGGGCCTCAGGCTGCGAGGGGACTGCAGAGCCGAAAACGGCTTCAAGGGGAAGGCTCTGAACAGGCTCCCACCACATCTGGAAAAACAATTCCCGGCTCCGGCTCAGCAGCCACTCCTGGGAGACCGCCCGCAGGAAGGAGGGAGCTCCTCCGGCAAGGGGCTCCCTCTCCCTCCAAGAGGGGAGGGCGTCCCCCGAGGAGGAGGATGGGGGGCTAACGCAGCGGGCGGAGGCCCGGCCTGAGGCGTCCTCGGGACGAGGAGAGGCGTTCCAGCGGGAGCTCAGGCTGTTCCAAGAAATGGCACGTCTCCCAGAACCGAGGAGCGGGAGAGGCTGGCTCCCCAGGACGTGCTGGGGAGCGGGGCCGGCCGGGACGCAGGGTACTCGGCCGGGCTGGTGGCTGGGCACTGCCTGTGCCCTGCCCTGCTGGGGCCTGGCTGAGGGGCTGGGGCCTTGCTGGGGTAACAGGCTCCTGGGACTCCCCTAAACTCACTCTGAATGCCCAGCTTTGGGTCCAAGCAGGAAGCGTACACAGCTCCTGAGCGAGGGCTTAGGGTTCTCACGGTTCCTCCTCCAGGAGAAGGAACAGCAGCCCCTGTGTGACCTTCCCTCTCACGCCCAGGAGCGGTGCCCAGGCCCCAGGCCGGACCTGGAGCTGGTGAGCCCGAGTCCTGGGGGCGCCCACAGGGAGGCCGGCGGAGGTGAGCTGGGGGCGCTGCGTAGCTCCTCGGGGCGAGTGCCGGGCGCAGCAGCCAGGTGAGCCACAGCCGCCACGTCACCAGCACTGGGCGTCTCCAACCTTCCCCGCGACCCGGCCACGCGGGCAGGCTGCGGCCGAGGCAGAAAGGAGGCGCCCAGCCCGGGGAGCCACGTCTGACGCAGGGCGGCCGCTCCCCGGCCCAGCCCCTTCGCCCTCACGCTCTCACTGGGGTTCCCTCCTCCACCTCCTCCCTGGACCTGCGTGCCCAGGCCTTCCCGCACCCCGAGCCCCACGCTGGCACGAGGCGGGAGCCCGTGAGCAGCGTGGTGCTACACGGAGAACGGAGTTGCCGCCTCCATAAATCACGCTGCAGAATTTTCCAAAAAGTCAGACGGCCAGGCAGCGTTCCCAAACTCGGAGCCTGCTGAGTCGCCAATCCTGGGGCTCCTCGGAGAAAGCCCGCCGGGCAGGTTACACGCGGGCCACGGGGTGAATCAATGCCAGACTGTCTCCTTCCAACAAGGGATGGCCGGCGGCCAGGAGGCGCTGCGCGGGCACGGGCGCCCTGCAGGAAGCCGCACCTCGCGGGCCAGACCTGTGCCCGGGGCCCGCCCGGCCGGCCGGCCAGCATTGGCCTTCGGGGCGGGCGTCCCCGAGGTGGCAGGACCTGAGCCTGGAAGTAGGGTGGGTGGCACCTCCTGGGGCACCTCCGCTGGGGGGCTCCCTCCTCCACAGGCACCGCTCCGGGACCGGGCCTCAGAGGACGCAGGGAGCGCCGTGAGCGGGACCTTCCTCGCACCCCCCTCACCACCACCCCCACCCCCCAGCGGCCAAGCCAGGGAACCCTGCTTCCTTGCCCCCCCCCCCCGCCCCCCGGGATCCGTCTCTCCCCCAGCCCTGGACTCCCAGCTGGGGACACCTTCCTCTGGGAACAGAGGCTAAAATGACCCCAGAAAAACAACGCATCCAAAGCATACGTACCGGAAACGACTGGCTGACGGCAGCTTAAAAAGAGTGAATTCAGGTGAAAACGTCTTACTCGCTTTTCGGAGGTAGCAAATCCTGGTTTTCCTATCCAAGGAAAATACAACCCCTCATCGGTGATTTTTTCATCATGAATCCTATCTAAACTGTACCCCTGGCATTTCCCAAGGCAGTTAGGTGTCCTTAGACAAGAAGTGTAGACATGAGTGCCTGTGTGTGTGTGTGCGCGTGTGTGCACCTGAGTGTGTGTGCGTGTACATATGTGCACGTGTGCATACATGTGCACACAAGTGCATGTGTGTGTGTGTGCGCACATGTGTGGGTGTGCATGTGTAGTGGGTAAAAGGCTGAGCTATTCTTTTTTGTTTTTTTGTTAAATATTTCAAGAAAAGTGATTTTAAATATAATATCATATGCAACAAACATTAGCATTTCAAGAAAAACATTTTAAATAATATTAGCAAAACTGTACTAGCATAGAATAACATAAAAGTTGTAGGAAATGTTAAAAATCTAGCAAATAACAGGATTTGCTAATGCGGGAATGCGTGGGAGCCACCATCTCACCTGGACTCCACGGCCCCCCATTTACCATCGGCCCCCAACCTTCCCACCGGCCCTCAGAGGCACTGTGAGTGGCGCCGTGGGAGGGAGGCCGTCGCCAGCCGGCCTCGTCTTCATCGTGCTCACCTGGAATGGGGAGAACCTCCCACGGGGGGGGGGGGGCCCGCGGGGGCCTCTCTGGGCCCTCAGGTGTATTTACGACCTGTGAGTTCAGGAATTCATTAAACAATTACCCATTAAATACGATGGCGGAGGAGGCACCGGTGCGGAACCGGCAGGGGAAGTGAGGCCCGGCCGCTGCCCTGGGGAAATGCGTGATCTCTGGGGAGAGGGATGCATGTGACCCACAAAGTCACACTCCCAGGGTGACTTACACTAGGCCTGCGTGGCGTTCCCCTAAATGGCCGCTGCAGGCGAGGCTGGGGGGCTCCCCCGCCGACCTCTCCGTGACGCCTGACCAGTCACCAAGCCTCCCTGCCTCTGTTACCCTATCTGCAGCTCTGAGGACCAAGTACACAAAGAGAAGGCGTGCAGGCAGCGTCAGCGAGGACACCGAGTCCTCACCGTCCTCACGGGCACAGCTTCTCAAGGGCTGGTGCGAGAAGGCACACACAGGGCAGAGTCTGGGCGGCGAGTGGTCACTGAGCCGCCCACGGTCTCAAGGCGCTCACGGCTAGAACGGAGCGCCCGGGAGGGGGGCCGGGCTGGGGCCCGGGGACGGCGCTGGAAGGGAAGAGGCGGACAAACCGCCCTCCCTCGACCTCCTCGCTTCTCTGCTAGCGGGGTCTTTCCCGCTTTAGTCTTTTCTTCCCACTGACTGACCCGGGAGACTCTGGGGCTCTGGAGGGTCCCCGTCTTTCCACCCAGCACACCCGCACAGCTCTGCACCTGACGCCTACATGCTCCGAACCAACCCCGTGGCTCACAGACCGAGGAGACGGAAGCCGGGGCGCTGGCCAGGGCTGGGGTCCCCGGGTGCGGCAGGGGCCTGGGCCAGAGGCGGTGTGCAGCCGGGGGCGCCCCGAGCGGCTCTGTGAGGTGAGCTCCACGCAGGGCCTGGTCACGGGGAAACCCCCGCGCAGACGCAGCAGCGTGAAGCCGGGACCTGAACCTCCCTCCGCTCCCTGGGCGCCTCCCGTGTCTGTGGGAAGAGGAGTGACCCTCAGGAACAACTGGTTTTCAAAACACAGTTCTCGGCCTGGCTGGTGTGGCTCAGTGGATAGAGTGGACTGAGGAGACCTGGGTTTGATCCCGGTCAAGAGCATGTACCTCAGTTGCAGGCTCAATCCCCGTCCCTAGTTGGGAGACAGCCAGCCGATGTGTCTCTCTCAGGTCGATGTTTCTCTCCCCCTCCCATTCCATGCTCTCTAAAAAAATCAATGGAAAACACCCTCAGGGAGGAGTGCCAGCACAAGCTCTGAGGACCTGCCAGGCGGGCGTACCTCAGCCTGCAAGGCCGTTTCTGTGTTTCTGCGATGCGGTGGCCACCCCCTCCTGTTGTCACAGCCGTGGCCCTTGATGTTTGCAGGCGGCTGCTACGTCTCCATCTGGGCCTCCCAGCTGCGCTCAGAGAGGAATGGTCTTCCTTCCTTCCTGCCGAGTCCCTGTGCCCAAGGCGTGGCATCCTGCGAGCTTTTACAAGACTGGCTCCAAGGGGTTCCTGTCCGTCCGGCCTCCGTCGTCGCCGTAGTTTCTGACCTTCATCTGTACAGTTCCTTTCTCCCCCCCAATTCCTTCCTCAACATCTGCTCTTCTCATCTCAGTGTTTCCCCTTCTCTGAAGCTCAGACACGTCGTCTTGAATAGCTCTGTAAGGAGCAGGGCTTGACTTCCCACTGTGCCACCCCACCCTGCACCTCTCTACCCTGTGCCTGTCCTACCCCCAGCTCCCCACCCCGCGCCGCCCCGCCCCGCGCCCGTCCCAGGAGCCGCTCTCCACTGCGAGGTCCCCTCCAGCCCAGCGGGGTGCGGTGTGTCTCAGTGTCTGTGGCGCCTGGCACACTTCCTGCGGGCCTCAGTGTGATCGCACCGGGCCCCAGGGCCCCAGACCTGGGCTCAGGGAAGGATGGCTTCGCGCTTAGTCGATGTCCGTCGACGGCCAGCCCTCTGGAGAGCGGCAGGTCTCACCAGAGCACCGGAGTCCATCGGGGTGCAGGTTCCAGAAGGCCTTTGTCCTCCCGGCCGGCCGCTCAGGCTCCTCGCAACCCTTCTGAGCACCTGACTTCCCCTTTGCCCACGTCTTGTTCTTCCTCCTCTTCTGCGGGTGCTGTCAGCTGTTCCGTTCAGTAGGGGTTCCCTTCCCTCCCTGCGAGGCTGGAGACTAGCGGTGACACGCGTGTCTTCATGGTCACAGGCACTCACTGGTCCTTCAGAAGTGGAGCTGCCCCCTAGCCTCCACTCACACGCCACAACCCGGCCCTCCTGCCTGCCCTGCCCAACAGCCACGCTCTGTGCCGTGTGGGGGCATCCAAGAGGCTGGGGGAAGGAGGCAGCTGCGGTGGGGGTGCTCAGTGTGGACTCCGGGGAAGCGGTACGACATGCATCAGGGGCCGGGACAGGTCAGAAGCCGGCCCCTCACCCCAGCCCGACCCGGGCACAGCCAGCGCCTCCCCCAAGGCCGCCTGCCTCCTGCCCACCAGCTCCCGCCCCAGGGAGAGGCCGGAGAGCTGTGGGGGCTCATTCAGCCTCGGTTCCTCTCCTTCCAGCTGGAGTCTGAGCAGGGCTTCGGGTGAACACGCACACCAACATTTAGATAATTCCGTTAAAAGGAGACCATTTGTAAGCAGCGAAATGTCACGAATTACGAACTTCCTCGGCTTCAAGGCCAATGGCAACAAACTGGGACCGTTTCCCTTACATCACCTCGCTGGAAAGCCTCTGGGGGTGACCCCACGCTGCACGGCCGGAACCGAGCTTCGGCGAGGACGCACTCCCCACACCTGGGCAACCCCTCCCAGGCCTGGGCGGCTCCCGCTCCTGGTCTGCCAAATGCCACCCTCTCCTTAAGCCATTTAAGAAATCTAACTCTTCCCGCCCAGCGAGCGGGCTATGAGCCAGGCTCAGCTGCATTTCCGGTCAGGGCGTAGGCCCGGGTTGTGGGCGCAATCACCGGTGGGGGGCGTGCAGGAGGCAGACAAGTGGTGATTCTCTCATCTTTGCTGTTACTATCTCTCCCTTCCTCTCTGAGACCAATAAAAACATATTTAAAAAAATCTAATTCTCATCCCATCAGTCCCAATCCTTCCATTCTTTGCTCTTAAACGCTCCAGTTGTTTGAACAGCCAGCGCCCTCATTCGCCTGTTCAGTCTCGGTTCCAGGTTCCGGTCCCCGTCAAAGTCTGCAGCCCACAGTCCCAATGTGTCATTGGTTTCTTCCCGTCCCACGGGCCCCGGCAGGAATGAACAAGGAACAGAAGGAACCACGGGAAGGTAGAGAGCTGCCGGGGTGCCCAGGCAGACATGGGCTGGACGCAGCCAGCCAGCCAGGACCAGGAGGGGAGGCCCTGGAGGCGCCCCCTCGTCACCACAGCGGCCGGTGGCCTCTCGGGGAGGTGGGGGCAACCCTGGGAATCCCCGGGAACCCGGTTCCCCGAAGGTCCTGCTCAGGACGCGTTCCTCCCGGGGATTAGCATCTCCTTAGATGCGCCGGGAGGGCAGTTTCTCAGAACACCAAGCCCCGCCCTGTTCCTGTCCTTACCTGGATGCTGCCCGCTCGGCTCAGCCTGGGCCTGGGCGCCGGGCACAGGAGGGTCAGACGAGCTGCGAGGAGACGGCTGCTCCTCCCGCTCCTGCAGGAAACGGGCAGAAGCGCGGTCAGAGGGCGGCACACCCGCCAGGCCCCCATCCCCGTGCCTGGTCTCCTGGACCCCCGCTTGCTCCCCGGGTGAGCTCACGACTCTTGGGGGACAGTCGTGTCAGACTGGTCAGCGCAGGGCCGCCCGTGGAAGGCGCGCCCTGATGCCAGGGCAGGAGAGGGCGGCTGGAGGGGAGTAGGGTCAGCGGACAGCCACAGCCTTCCACGGGGCACGGACACGTCACAAGGACCGGGCGGGGGACCGGGACCAGCCCCTCCAAAGAGAGGGAGCTCGCTGGCATCGCTTGGAGGTGGGGGTAAGGATGCAGCAATGGGACCTCCGAGCCCGTGGGTTCCACGAAGCCGGGAAAGAGGCCTCGGGATGGGCGCGAACCCACGGGCCTGTCACGTGGACGGATCCGCGGGGAGTGAGGAGGGCGGGATGGGGGGTTGCTCTCCCGGGTCTCAGGACCCCCTGGCGCCTAGTGCTCCTGAGCCCCCTGCCGTGCGGACGGCTCGGACCCGGGGCTCGGGCCCGTGCCGCCGGCAGGTGGGCTGTGCCCTAACGTGCGCGTGGGCGGGGAGGGCCGCAGGCTAACCTGGCGAGCGCGGGGAGGCCAGCGCGGCGGGCCCTGCGCACTCAGAGACCAAGGCCACCGCGGAGGATGGTCTGACCGGAGCATCCCTAGCCAGAAGCGGGCACTCTCCCCCTCGGCCTGTCGCTTCTTTGCCCCTGCGAGAGGGCGGTTGCGCCTAGGAAACGTACCTGTAAAAAAATGTCAGAGTACTCTTCTTCCGGCCGCGCGGGGCACAGCCGCCGGCACCAGTGCGCGAGGCCACAGAACCCCTCACTGCTCTCTCGTCTCCCGAAAACCATCGCCATTTGCTGACTGACGCTCCTCTCCTGCACGCCTGCACACCAGCGCAGAGAGGGACGTGTCCTCGGGGGCCTTCGGGGCTAGGACCAGAGCTCGCCCCACCCGGCTACTTCCTCCCGCCCCGTCACCTCCACCGATGGACCGCCACGTCCACCCTCCTACGTGGGAGCTAGAGGGGAGAAAACAAGCTGTGACGGCCCTCCTCCGCTCTGCTGAGACCGCTGCTTCCTGACAACATGGCCAGTGCGGTTCGAGGAAGCTCCTGCGGTTCCCGGCAGATCTAGGTTTCTCAGGTGGGCAGCCGCCCTGCCCGTGCCCAGGAGCCTGCCACAGCTGACTACGCCGCGGTGCCCAGGGAGGCCCCGCCCCCGATGGCCGCCGCCTCGGAGCCCCCGCACCCCCACCCGGCCGCCCCCGGAGCTGGAAAAAGGCAGTTATTCTGACAAGAGTGGGGGTCGCAGCAGGCCCAGGGAGAGGGTGGGTGCTGTGTCCGGAGCCCTCGCCTGCTCACACACAGAAGGGAACAGTGCGAAGTCTGCTCCACGGAGACCACAACCTGCAGGAAGAGGGGCGTGGGACTGGCAGGGGCACGAGGGGGAGGCACCCCAGCCGCCCTCGGTGCGGGCAGCCGCCGCCCTCCCTGTGCTCTGCCTCCGGAGCGGAGGCTTTCTGCGCGCCGGGGCATCGCTGTCAGACAGCCATCGCACACACAGACGCTAACAGAGTGAAGAAAAGGCGTGAAGGGGACTTCTCCACACGCGTCCTGTTTGCTGAGCCTGTTCCTTCAGAGAAAAAGCACACGCGTGGTGTGTGTGTGTATGTGCATGCAGAACCTGAAGTATCTGTGGAGAGTACAGGACACATGTGAGTCACACGGGGTTACAAGGATCCTGTTTAAGAAATGGAACTGTGGCCACAGAACATGTGTCGCTGTCTTCTCACCATGCTTTCTGAAATCTCCACTGCTCCCACCGCCCCCAACCCCCCTCCCCCCATGTGCACATGCATGCACCCCCTTTCTCCCAGGCTCCGCAGTGCAACAGGCCATCCAGAGCGTGTCTGGTGAGGGAAGAGGGGTGGGTGTGGAGGATGTGGGGTCCAGGAGTGGGGAGGCCACCAGAGCCCAGCCGAGGGGCCGCACGGGGGCTGGGCCAGCACAGCTGGCGGAGGGGGACTCCTCCCAACCCCCAAAACCAGTGCGTCTCCTCACTGGGACTCCCACCTCTAAAAATCAATGGAAACAGTTCCCACAATTTCACAGCAATGCTTCTCCACCCGTCACAGTTCCTTCCTCTATGAATTCTATGGCAACCTGAAGACGTTTCTGGAAATAAAGAGCCAGAATACAACACACACCAGCCTAAACCTCACAGCCGGGGCAGCTTAGCACCCGCGTGTGAGAGCGGGCAATCACACAGTGTGAACGGTTCTGTTTATTCTGCGTGTCTCCCCGGAACATGACAAAGGTGAACGGTCAGGACGGCCGCCGCGGCGTTTCTCGGAGCCCGGCCTGTCTGGGGGACGGGCTGTCTGTACACATTCCGGGAGCATCGTAACGATCCTGAGCCGACCTTGTTCCCCTTCCCGGTGGCGGGCCTCGGATCCCTGGAAGCAGCCACCAGGCCAGAGGTCGCCGGTGTTTTCCCAGCGTCCACACACACTGTGAGGCACCCCCAACCCCGGCCCCCGCGGAGTCCAGGGCCGTTTCCCAGTATCCGAGGGGGCGGGTTTCCCAGTATCCGAGGTGCCGGCTCTTCCTGGGACTCCTCTTGCCTCACCCGAAGGTCACAGAGGTCTCCCTGCCCAGGTGGAGGGGGGCCTCAGGGGACAGGAGGAGGGGCTCTCTAACGTGACGGCCTGAGCAGGACCGAATGGGGAGTGAGCACCCAAACGCTCCCTAACTCCCCCAGGAGGAGCTCACAACGTGGCAGGAACCCCGTGGGGTCACATTCGCAGCGAGCACGTTCCCATGTTTGTGTGTGGATTGCGCTTGGTTCTCAGAAGCGGTTCGTGGGGTCGCGCTCCTGGACTTTCCCCCGGGCGCCTTCTGAAGCAGGAAGCCTGGCCGCCGCCGCACCCTCCACCGGATGGCGGGGAAGCATCCATCTTGTCTCGGTTTCTGTACTGTGCTGGCGCCCACGTGGGCGAGCGGGCGGGCAGGCAGGCGGGAGAGGGTGCCGCCATGGTAAGCGGCTCTCCGGGCCTGTTCTCGGCGCGGTCCTCACTCCTGCCGGTCTGGCGGCCGCTCCGAGGACCTGCTTCTGCTCCCCTTCCCTTCCGTGGGCTCCGAGGACCTGCTTGCTGGCGGCCCTCGCCTCCCTGTTCGTTGCCTCCTTGCTCCTCGTCCGACGCGACGTCCTCCCTCGCTCCCTCCAGTGCACTTGGGGGTCGTCTCCGCAGTCTGCTTGAACCGTGAGACCTCCCCTCCGAAGACCCACGTGTAAGTGAGGGGTCACCCTGCCTGTCACTAACACGGGTGCTGGCACTGGCTCCTCTGCCCTCAGCTGCCACGTGGCACTGAGAGCGCCCGCTGAAGAGGCCGTCACCGCGCCCCACAGGGAAGGGGCGCGCTCCAGGCGCCCGCTCCGGGCCTCCCTCCACTGACACGCGGGCCCTGCGTGTGTCGCGCCCGCGCTCCGGTCCCTGCCACCCAGCCCGCACCCAACAGGCGCGAGAGGTCCTCTCTCCAGTGACGAGCAGCCCAGACCCCTTTGGGACGTCTCCTCACAAGACAGGCGACTCTCTGACCTAACGTGAGGCACCCGTGTCTCAACAGCACTGTCACACGTGGGAGGGGTGTAATATCCAGAACATGGCGCAGGACCGCTCCTGAGGGGTTTGGGGGCTTGTCTGGATTCTATGGGCCTCCTGTACTCTCCCTGAAAGACGCCCCACATCTGAGCAATCCCAGCAGTGAGAACGCGGTCTGGGCGGCTGCCTCCTCTGTTCCTACGTGGAACTCCCAGGGCCAAGAGCATGTACTTTTTAAAGCTCAGGGAGAATCCTGTAGTCCCGAGACGCCAAGAAGGGCTGTAATGACAGGGGAGATGGTGGCGTTTACAGACTAAGGCTCCCGCGCAGAGGCCGCGGGGAAAAGCCGAGCCCAGAGCAGAGGACGGCTCCTGCCGCCCGGAGTCCGTCCGAACATCCGAATGTCCGTCTCCCCTTCGGGGGCAGCTTCCCTGGACTCGGGGACAGGAGCAGCGGCCGGTCTCTGCACCGGCGTTCGGGGCACTTCCTGTGGAAGGCGAGGGCCAGGGCGGCGGGAGGTGGGGATGGGGCGTGAGGGTCCCGCCTGAGGGAGGCAGCCCTCCACGGCCGTGCCGTCTCCCTGGAGGGGGCAGCCTGAAGCCCGTGATGGAGGCCGAGAGGGTCGCTCCACGGGGCTTTACGGATATTTTCCGAAGCCAGGGCGGGCGTCCAACGTTCGGGGCAGAGCGGGGCCTCCAGAAGGGGACGAGGAGGAGCCTCGCGGGCGGGCGGCCTGGGACAGTGATCTCATTCCATCTGCACTCAGCCCGGGAGGGCGGGGGGCTGCGGCGGCCTCAGCCAGAGCCCGTCCTTGGGCCTCCGTGGGGCCGGCAGGGGCGGGCGGGGCTGGCTGTCCAGCTCAGCAGTTGCTCCTCCGGAGTGTTCCTGGCGGCCACACCCGGGGCCTGCAGGAATGTCCTGGCCGCTCCGGCGAGAGGCCTCCACCGACCCCACTGGCTCCTCGCACTCCTCCTGCCCCAGGAATGCGCCCACCGCCCTGCGCGGCCCCACGCCAGGACCGCCAACCGCGGCCGGGGGCCCACCTTCCGTGTCTCCACGGAACAAGAATCCTGCGTGTTTTATGTGTTATTTTTCATTTTTTGTTCCTCCTCACCTGAGGACATTTTTTCCATTGATTTTTAGAGGGGGTGGGAGGGAGGGAGGTAGAGAGAGACACACTGATGGGCTGCCTCCCACATGCACTGGACAGGCTGAGGATCGACCTGCAACCTGGGTACATGGCCTTGACCCAGAATCATACCCATGGCCTTTTGCTCGGCCAATGCTCTAACCACTGTCCACGCTGGCCAGGGCCGAGCCTGTCTCTTAAAGATCAACCATGAGCGACTCAAGCTGGGTCTGGACTCTAGTGAATCCTGAGGGAGCAGTTTGCTCCCCTAAATATGCCTTTTGGGGTGCCAATTCTTGTATGCTGGTTACTTTTAAAAAACAAGTAGGGGGTGTGCAGGAGGCAGCCAAGCCACGATTCTCTCTTATCACTGATGTTTCTCTCCCCTCCCTCTCTCTCTCCCTCTCCCTTCCTCTCTGAAATCAATTAAAAGGACATATTTTTTAAAAAGTGGAATCTTCATGATCTGGAACATCCTCTATGCACACCATCCCTTCCTCCTCAAGACTTAGCCCCCAAACCACCTCCTTCCGGAACTTTCTCTAACAGCCCCAATGAAAATGGGATCTTCCTCCCTCATCTTGATGTAACTCAAGGTGGGAACGAGGGATGGTCAGCTGACCAGCGGGGGGCCCTCCGATCTGGGGCAGGGCGGCTCTGCTTCTGGGTGAGGCGGGCAGGGGAGGCTGGAGTGGAAGGAATGCCATGGAACGCTGTCCCCTGGACATGCCCACCCTGCAGAGCCCTCAGCGGGACAGGGGCAGCTGTCACCACTCGGCGTCAGCTGGCACCATACTCGGTGGCAAGCAGAGGGCACCTAATAAATCTGCCGACACCAACTGCCGAACCTGCTCAAGACCAAAGAAGGTCTGCTGAGCAGAGTGAGCAGTTCTTGGTCCAAGAATCGGAGCAATGCGGCCTGAGAACAGCTGGGAATTCAGCGAGGCAGGAATGTAACCGTCAGCACGGCAACTGCTGGGTAACAAATGGAGATGCCGGGCTCCAGTCCAGCCCCCGGGGTCCCGTCCCCATTTCCCACCTGCGGTTTGTCCGGGGACAGCAGGCAGATCCTGGCTCCTCTGCTCCAAGGCAGGACAGCGCTGGGCAGGTGGGTCTGAGGAGCAAACGAAAGGACGTCAGTGAGGGGCCTGTCCGGGGGTGAATCCGGCCACGTGCCCTCAGACAGACGGTACTCACCGAAGGGCTGGGCGTGGGTCAGAGGTCTCTGTCCGGGGCTGTCCTCGGCCGAGTCCTCAGACCTGCCTGGCACAAGAGCTGGTCAGGGACCTAGACGAAGGCACAGGAGACCTTTACACCCTCCTCCTGAACCTGTGTGCTAACATCCCGACGTGTGTGCTAACATTCCACACGTACCCCAAACCACCCACCCATGGTGAGAACGTGGGGCCTTCAGGGACCCCACCTGAGGATGCTGTTAGAAGGAAGCATGAAGAGCTCTCCCAGCCTCCCCCGCAGCCCCCTAACCTCCACCCTGAGGGAGCCCCCGGGCCACAGACTCCCTCCCGTCAGGTGGCTGATGGGGAAAACCAGCCCCGGAGGAGGCCGAGAGCAGGCTGCACGCCCAGTGACCTCTCCCCGCCCCCGCTGCGCAGCCCTCCGTTGCTGCGGTGGCATGCTCAGCACAAGCGCGCCCCTCCCGGCACCCAGGGCTCCTCCCAGACACAGGCCCCAAACCCACACCCTCCCCCGCGAGCCGCCCTCCAGGGGCCGGGCGGCCGCCCGAGAGCCTGGGTTCGTCTTGCTCTGGGCTCGCGGGCGGGCGGGCAGGCAGGCGGCCTGTGTGCCTTCAGGCCACGGCGAGGCAGAGGCGCCGCCCCCACCCGCCTGTGTCCCCATGTCGCTCTGCTCCCCGATTCCACCCGCCGGCTCGTCCCCAGCGCCCAGAGGAAAAACCGACGCTACACGCAGGCCCCTAGGGTGGGTGGAACTCCGGGAGAGGAACAGGCGGCCGAAAGCTCCGATCGAGGAACCGGGGCCTCACGGCCCAGGGCAGGGCCCGCCGCGGAGCGGGGCAGGGTCACCCGGAGCGAGGCCCGGAGGCTCGAGGTGGGAAACGCCACCAGCCCCAATCCTCCCGCCCGGCCCCCGGCCCTGGGGGCTGTCTCAGGAGCCCCGAGAAGACAGGAGCCCACACTGCCACGCTGGCGAGGCTCCTACCGGGAGACTCGCCGCCGCAGGCACGCCACGCGGTCCAGGGCAGCGCTTCCCGGGCCCTTTGCGCCTTCATCGAAGGCCCAAGGTCTCCCAAGGTCACTGCCACGGACGGAGGCCGCGGCCGGGCTCCTGTCAGCAGCTGAGGCTGCTGTAAACTGTGACGGGCGGCTGTGCTGACGGGACTCCGGGGTCTAGAGGCCGTCAGGACAGGCCTCCAGCGGCCCACTCTGCCCCCCGCACCTCTGCCCTGCCCCACGCTCCCGCCCTCCACGAGCCCAGGTCAGCGCCGGCCCCATGCAAATACCCGGACGGCACAATCGGGCGGGGTGGCACGGAGGAGCCAGGGCAGTTGGTGCACCAATACCGGGCCATGACGGGTCCCTCCTTGTCCCTCCCTCTGACCCTGCAGGGCCCAGGGGCAGCCTGAGGGCTCGGCCACAAGGGAGGGAGGCCGTGTCACAGGAGGTAAGTGCCTGGAGCCCGGAACACCCACGTGTGTCCCAGGATGTTCAGGCACTGGAACCCGCGGGGTGAATGGCCGCCTTTCCCCACGGCCCCACGGAGAACGACGGCTACTCCCCCCCACTGTCTTCATGGCCTGGCTCACTGTGTCCGGGAACCGTGTCCTCAGAGCAGTCTCAGAGTTGGGGTGTCCCCGCGCCCCCTCCCTCCCGCGCCTCCCCGAGAACAGGCAGAAGCTCCCCCACACACTGTGTGATCAACGTGTAGTGCGGTGGCAAAGCCCCTTTGTCCCGGGATGGGTGTGCAAGGTGAGCAAGGAGAGAATGACAGTCACTCTGAAGAGAGAAAGACAGCCAACAACACACTTTTACACACACTCACACACACAGTGAGATGCACACACACACTCGCTTTCACACACACACACACACACACATCAGTGAGATACACACACACTTTCACACACATTCACACTCTCTCACACTTACTCACACACTTTTCCACACACACACCAGTGAGAGATGCTGGGAATGGTGTTCATTTTCACAGGCTGATCCCAAATCGCCCGTGAGGGATGATGTCACCCCCCAGCTACTCAGGACGCTGCCAAAATGTTGGCGGAATCCAGATGTCGGGGCTCCCAGCAGAGCCCACAGCTGCATGCAATCAGCGGAGCATCTCCTCGGGGCTGAGCCGGCCCCTCCGCGGGGGGGCCGTACAGGGAGGCCACGCTGGCCGCGGGCCACGCAGGAGGCGCCTTCGAGCAATCGCTGCTCTCAACGGCCCTTGGAAAACTTCTTCTGGAAGAAAATGGGCCAGGAGGCCCCGGGCTGTGCTGACGTGGCCACCGCGGCCACGGGTGTCAAGGAATGAGCGTGGCCGAGTTCCAATAAAGCTTTATTTACAAAAGCGGGCGGGGGGCGGCATGGGCACACAGGCGGCATTCTGCCAGCGCCCTCGCGAGGAGGGCCAATCCGTGCCTGGAGGCCGGCAGGAGCCGGAGCGGGAGCCCTGGGGCGGGCGGGGTTTGGAACGAGCCCCTGGGGGGGGGGGGAGATAAGGCTCCATTCTGCAGGAATGCGGGGTCCCCCCACCTGGCAGCTGGCCTTCGGGGGCAGGGTCCCAGGACAGCCTCTGGGACGTGGTTACTTGTGGAAGGAGCTGGAAGCGGGCGGAGGGAGGGGATTATAAAAGTAAAAGTAAATATTTGAAAGCGGTGTTGGGAACCGCCGGCCGCCTCGAGACCATGTGAAACAGCCGGAGTGGGGCTGCCAGCGAGGCCCGGGGCTCTCCGCCCCCGTCTGCCTGGACAGCCCCTCAGTCCCGCCCCGCACCGCTGGGAGGATAATGAATGTGGCTTTTCTTCCCCACTCACAGGCACGCCTAATCCCTCCCCGAGACCCCGAGGCTCCCTGTGGTCGGGGGGAACGAAGAGCGGCGGGCGCGGGGAGATAAGCAGGGTCCCGGGCGGGCGGGAGGAGGGAGGGCGGGCGGCTTGGCCCGCGCCAGCAGGCCGGCTCTGGGCAGTGGGCTGGACTCTGCCCTGACATGAGCAATGGAAAAACCTCTCAGCCCGGAGCCGCTCGGATTTTAAAATTGCAGACGAGGGCTGTGGGCCTCTATTTATAACTCCCTCCCCCACCGCCATCTCTCATTTCTGCTTGACTGGAACCCAAACTCCGCCCCGGCTGGGCCCCTGTGCCGAGCCCTGCCCGGTCCTGCCTGGGCGCCACCCCGGCTCCGGCACTCCCCCGGGGAGGCCTCCCTGACCTCCTGGCCTAGCTCGGCCCTCTCCCGCTGCCCGCTTCATCTGCTGGAGTTACGATCCTCCCAGTGATCTTATTCGCCAGTTGTGCCTGTCAGCCTCCCTCCCGGACACAGGAGCCCCTGGAATGTGTCTGCTCTGCAAAGCTGCTCCCTGGCCCCGGGCCTGTCTGGCACCTGGCGGTGCTCACTCAAAACCCCAAGCACAGGGGCAGGCCCCCTCCCCCACGGGCCAGGCGCTCCTCCCGCAGGGAGGGGCCCCGTGCTGAGGCCCCCACCCCACCCCCACCTCCAACCCTTCTCCACCAGGAGGGAAAGTGGGGGGCCAGGGCAGGGCCAGGGCTCCCCTCCCCCCCAAGCCCCAGAACAAAGACCCTCCTAAGTCAGCCTCCCAGGCTAGGAAGTGGCCGGCCCGCCTCCCGCCCCTCCCCCGCGCCAGCCTGGGCCCTGGCTCCAAAGCAGAAAAAACAGGATAATTTCATGCTGCACCAATTTTGGTGCTTCTGGGCCCATGAAAAACGGCACCTATCGGTGACTCACGGCCGCGCCAGGCCGCGCCAAGCCGCAGCTATTAGGGCGCAGCGAGGCGCAGAGCACCCTGAGGGTCTGGGGGGCTCCGCTCGGGGAAGACTTGGAGATAAATCTGACCGCCCGGGCCGGGGGAGGCCCCCGTAAATCATCCCTTTTCTGAGAAGCTCTGGAACTCTCGGCTAATTTTCCAGGAACGGGGCGGGAGGCTGCCAAGGCCGCCGGGGTGTGCACGGGCGCGAGCAGCGCCTTCGGGAGCCCGGCGGCCTGGCCGAGCCTGTCCCCGTGGCCCGGGCTCCCTGGGAAGGGCCGCCATGTGTCCCCGGCTGCCGGCTCCCCGAGGGCGGCCCCCAGCCCGGGGCGGCCGCCGCAGCTGCCACGTCCGTCAAGCGGTGCTGGCGCTCGCCGCGCTCCTGCCATCTCCGGGCGGACGGCAGGAAACCGAGACGCCAGGGGGAGGGGCACAGAGGGCCTCTGTCCCGCCCGCCCTGAGGGCTGCTCCGTGGCAGCTGCAGAGACTCTGAGGCGGGCTCCCTGGGTGCTGGGCGCCGGTGGGGAAGGCGCCGGGGCGTGGCGGCCCCGCGTGGGCCAGGGCCGTGGGCGCAGCGGGCGCGGACCCGGGCCGGCGGGCACGGTGGCCGCGGCCTCTTTAAGAGCGAGGCAGGGATCACCCAGGAGGCAGAGGGCCGAGCCTGGGCAGGGCTCACCCGCTCCGCAGGCCCGTGAGTCACCCACACACGTCACGGGTCTGCTAAGGTTTGCGCCCTCTTTTCTGGCACGAGACCCACGTTGGCTCCGTGTCAAGTTCGGTGATTACAATGAGCAGGCTCCCTAATCTTCAGCTTTTTCTTCGAAGGTTCCTTTCACTCTGACACCAAAGAAGTGACAAAGGCGTCCGCCCGCCCGCCTGCCCGTGGGTGCCGTTGGACAGTTATCGGAGGGACCGCGGCGGAGGGAGGCCGGTCCCAGCGGAGTGAGACGGACGGAGGGCAGAGCCCGGGGCCTCGCCCGGGGCCTCGCACGGGCCTGCTGGACGGGGAGCCCAGGGAGAGGCGGCCAGTCCTAGGGCGGAAGGGCCGAGGAGGCTGCCCGGAGGCTCCCGGTCAGGTCCCGAGCCCGGCACCGCCCCACATGGCCGCCTTCCGGGTGAGGGGACCTGAGCCCAGGCTGCCAGCAGCCCCTCGGGAAGACGAGGACTGAGGGTCGGATGAGCAGACCTCCGCACCGCCGTCTGCCGGAGGCGGGAGGCACACATCCGGACGGGACAGACAAAATGGCCTCCAAAGGCTCCACACTTGGCCCTGGCCAGGCCTGTCCCACTGATGAGAGAGGCCTGGGGGGCGGGGAGCCCCTTCTGC